GCTCTACTTTTCCAAGCAGGCCAGATTTCTTGGAAGCGGTTGAAGTACTGTACCCACAATTTCCCCCACCACACACGATCTGTCGATTGACCTGTCGATTAACTATAACTGTCGGTGTACTCTTTTAAATTGCTGGTTGGACAGAGGCAGAGGGATTTACAAAAAAACTTGTGCCGTTGTTTGAACTGCTGTGCAGAGAAAATGACCTGGTGATCTCTGAAGTCCAGTGAACTAACCATTACACTACATTAGTGTGGTGCAATGGTGGATACTCTAATATACCGAGGGCTTTATTGTCTGCCGGGTCTGTCTGGGTCGTTGACCTGGAAAATATTCGTTCACCCGATAAACCAAATCCATCATAACTCTCGCTATGGCAGTGGCTACTAATTACGTGCCAGCGACCTAGAAAATATCCTGTGAGAAAATAAGCCCTTAATATATTGTACCGTATATGATTTGTCAGCTTTGCAAGCCACTGAATTGTAAGTATTCACGGTCCCGATTGGAAGCAGTAATGAATATTTTCCAAAGCGTTGTGGCACATTGTAATACTGATAGTGGCAGTTTGTCAGTCCACTGCTGGATGAGGGGCCCCCTTATGCCATACATGTTGTGGGGATTAAATGACCATATTCCATGCTGGCGAAGGTCGGGAGCATAGACACGAGAGCATAGAAGTCCAGTACAAGAATGGATTTTGATGCACTGCCTTCTGCTGGCTATGAAGTAACCCTGCAGCCTATAAGTATGTGTTACGCATAAACATAATATTTATTTTTATAGAGCGCCATTTATACAACAGCAATGCACAAAGCTGCGAAATCCGCAAACACGGAGGTGCATAAATTAGTATGTTTTCAGCCAATTAATCAGTATTTATGATGAGCATTTACACACGTGGTTTGGAATCGTAGCACCCCGAGAAAACCGACGCGTGCGAGGGGGCAACACGGTATCCCATCAAGTTGGAACGGATGATATTAGTCCACGCTTCCTCTTGGGGCGAGTCGGGTTATGGTATCTCATTGCCCACGGGAAGGCAGTTTTGAAACATTTGGATTTACAAGCGTTTCGCCACCACCACATACGTGGGCGTCACCCATTCTCGTACTATCCAGGTTCAACCCTTTTTGGCTTCCAAGATACGACATGTACGAGTGAAAAATAATTTTCTCACATTCACAATTTTAATGTGGGTATTGTGAGCATAAGGATTGGTTTTAATTGGACAATTGCTTATTATTCACACAAAGTGAATTAGCACGGTGGTCAAAAAGTAATGAGAACTCTGTGAATCCCCATCTCGAAGTAATAATCAATGCAGAAAAAAAGTTGCAATGATGTTAACAGCTGGCTGTGTCATACAAATTGGGCTTAGTGCCTAATTATAATATGCTACCATATTTAGTTTTGATACCCTCTTATGCAGGACGATGTACACAGGAATGAAATTTTCACAAGCTAGATAATTTAAATGGAATAAAGGCATGTGCTCATGCGTTGAATTTCCGGAAGAGCGATATTAGACATTTATCATGTTACACGTCTCGCTCAAGTATGTTTTGATGGGAACATGGCCCGCTCATATAACGCATCCTGATCCTGGGGGGCGGCGGCGGGGGGAATGTCATCACAGTTGTGTAGGAGGCAGAGGCATGGAATGAATCGCATTCACAGCATGACAACCGATTAAGCAGGAGAGCTTTGAGCAACAGTCGCGGGTGCAAAAAAGTTTCGCATGAAAAACATTGAAGAAACTTTACGCCGCCGAGATAGTCGCGCGTTCGAATTTGCGTGCACGTACAAACATACAGTGTGCAAATTTGGTTACATTATGCCACCCGATTCCCCCACATATGGTAGCTTGGCATCCGCGACCAGGAGGAGGGAACTCCAATTACATAAAATCTATAAAAAAACACACACCCGGTCCTGCCCTTGATTTTACCTTGTACAGGCGTGTAATGTAAACGTGCCCTGGAAAGACGTCGTTGGGTAAATGCTTTGGGATTTCTTTGGCAATGCTCAGTCGCCAGAAGTGTTTGAGATCACGTATTCACCAAGGCGGTTTTCTTGGTTATGATTTAACCTGTTCATTACGTGTGGGCTTTGTACAGTTTGGCAGTGCTGGGCATGCCCAGACTGCTTTGTCAGAGTTCCATTTTTTACATTTGTTTGAAAATTTCAGTTTTGTTACCACTGCAGTTAACGTAGTTATCTGGGAGAAGGTGGAAAGTGTTGTTGAGGTGTGGTGGATTCAGCGGCTATGGCCATGACAAGATCTTCCATCTTGAGTTTGCTTAGTTACAGCGCACGTTGTCAATCCACTGTTGGATGAAAGCACTCCCTGCGCTGTTTGTTTGACCATACTTCACCACACTAGTGAATGCAGGTTTGGTGAGGTGCCGTGGAGGCATGATTAGTTAATATATCCCTCCTCACAGTTGTTGGCTGTGACCTGGGAATCAAACTCGGGGTTTAAAGGCGCAGTGCTCCAACCACTGGGCCCACCCTTCCAAGCCCATAAAATGTACGTTGTATTAAATCTATTTTTATAACTTTAGAACACAGATCTCAGCGTCCTACATTGCTGTTGTCAATCAGACAAATTAATCCCTTATTTAATCTAGGTGAGAATCCGTTGAGAAAGATGTGTCATTGGGGCACTTGAGAGAGAAAAACGGTGCACGTGAAGATGCCGCGTCTGAAGAAAAAGCGCGTTGGTGCGAAAACTTCACAAAACTACAAATTATGCGGCGTCAACATTAAACGCACAGTTGTTGAAACGTAATAGGAGGTTCTTGTTTTGAAGAATATGTAAGCGGAGCTCCGTTCTGTGTCGCCACATGTGTTTACAACCAACCAGTTGGCTTTCCACACAAAATGTTATCAAGCAGCATTTGGTATGGAAAGTGAGTAGACTAATATATGACACTGTATAAGATGAAACTATTATTACCATTATGATTATTATTATAATTTGGGCTCTCGCTGATATCAGGAGCTGAAGTGTTGACTTTCGCTCGCCTGGTTAATGTTGTGTTCACCTCCATACCCCTCATCGTGTTTGTGTCTCTGTGGCGTTCTCGCTGGTAAGTGTTGTCCTCCGTACCATTGAGCGAGTTAATTTTATTCTTTTGTTGCTTCTCGTACTATTTTTTGATGTTACATTGCTTTGCTATGTTCACTGTATTTGGATTCAGTTTGCCGGAATGGCACTGTATATAATAACATCATTATTATTACTAGTTGTGGAGATACATAACAACTGTATTCTTATACAGTTTTAACTTTTTACCCATAATATTTAATGGCAACGCATGATGGGTTTGTGTAAAAGCCGTGTTCGTGGCTTCACAACTGCATTGTCTCGCAAAGAGCATGCCGTGGCGTTGATTTTTGCCCATGCTGCTGTACTGTGACCACGCGTCAACGTGCCACGTGAACGCAGCGAGAGTGAACGCGTTCTTGTCGTCGTCTTGCATTGTGTGGAGAGGCGAACCGAAAATAGAAAAGCGAAACCCCAGGCCAGATGAGGTCTAAGGAGCCAGCACAAAGGTTCACGCAGGCCGGTAAATAAACTGGATCGTAACGATTGTGAAAAATGTAAACCTCGTTTGTTGACCTTTTGAAGTGCAATTGAACGCAAGCGGGTGATTGCTGTGTTCTCAGCTCACTTCAATTACGGTTTGGCTTGAGACGTATGTTGGTGCGAATTTAGGTGGTCGAAATAATTGCGGCCGTATAAATTCGCGCGGGGCAGTGTTCACTGTGACACGTTCCGTGTGCGGATTTTTTAAATTACCTTCTAAGGGGCTTGATTCCCTCCGCCAGGTGTAGTGGAGTGACTATGTATGTATGTTGAACTTCGTTCGCACCGTACTTAGCCAACCGTGCTAATTTCATCCAGTGATTCGCAAGGCAACCTCCTCTCTATACCGAGGAGCAGGACCGATGATGCCAGTGTCGTTTCTCCGGGGCAGCCCCCTTACTGTCCAGATCACCAACCCCCGGCACATTGGAAGCGTGCAATTTACACCGACTTTTGAGAGCCACCTAATGGAGCCACCACTTCTTTCGCGTGGCTTTCGAGTGACACTAAGCTTGTCTCCGCGCCTCGAGCCACGGTCATTTATGTCCGTGAAATATTTGTGTGCATTATAAATTGCACGAGTATTATTATAACACCTGAATTGCCTGTTCTACAGTAGCCAGATCCATGATGTGTGTGCATAATCCCTACCTCCTGGGCAATGAGCTGATCCTGTGGGAGGCCAATATAACCTGGCAGGTTTATGACTGGCAGGCAATCTTTGAGTGCTCTCCCCTTGTGCATATGAGGATTTTTTTTTTTACGGGCACTCTGGTAACCCTCCCACATGCAAAAATGCTCACGTCAGCAACAGGACCCGCCCGATAAATGCATAAAAACTAAAATAATGTTTTTGCCTTTTAAGTTTGCATATACCATTTTAATGTACAACCCATTTGTCAATCCACTGCTGGATGAGGGCCTCCCCAAGTGCGGGTTATTTGACCGTACCGCAAGGCGGTCGGTGCGAGCTGGTGACGGTGGGGCAGCGTGGACGTGGCAGCAGCCTCGAGCGCAGGTGCTCTTCACTAATTTTCAGAGTGGGGCCGCTTTCGCCGATAACACATCAGTGTGAGGGCCGCCACACATTTGAAACCATTGGGATTGATAGCACGATGATAGGGGGTATTTTCACATTTGTCTATTGTCAGGGACCCCGCACGTCAGGGGCCGCACTAAAGGCCGCCAGGGGCCGACAGTGGTCTGTGGGCCTTGCAATGAAGAACTCTGCTCTAACGCCTCTTTTACGCACGGTGTCGGCAGTTTAAATGACTACGCGGCTTTGTAAGTCAGTCGCAGGCTTGTGTGCGGTATATCATGTGATGTTTATTCGTGGTCCCTCAACTAACGTCACTCCCCCTCTCCTCTTGCCCTCCCCTTCGGTCTCGCCGTGTGCCTCACGAAGCTGGTCGGCGGGCAGTTCGACCTAGAGGCGAACTTCGTGGTGCGCGACCCCGAGGGTGTGAGCGGCCTCGTGTGCCTGCTGGACGTTTGCGACCCCCAGTGCCGCGGCGAGATCCTCAGCCTCTTCACGGCCGTGCTGCGCAAGAGCCTGCGCAACCTCCAGGCCTGCACGGAGGCCGGCCTCATCGGCCAGCTCCTCCAGCGCCTGCAGAAGCTCGACGATGTCACTGCAGGCACGGCGAAAAAACGTTTCCATTTCAATTTTTTTTATTTCCATTTCCACTGGCGCGGTGGTGTTATTTAGGGGTTTTTTCACGAGCTTTTTACAAATTTGTTTCCATGGTTATATGAAATTATATTGAGTGGCTGGGCAGTTGGGGATACCTACTGTTATTTATGAATAATGCGGTCGTGAATGAATTAAGATGTGTATGATTAGATGCGTGAAGTGACAAGTCTTGCCCCACCGTTACGAATGTCAGGGGGAAAGCGATGCTCCGGACAAAACAAAAACATAGACAATGTAAAATAAACTCTAGTTTGGTTATAAAAATACGCTATTGTTGATCTAGGTAGAATGATAATGAAGAAGCAGAATGGCTTTTCTTTTTTACTGCCTGTTAAAGTTTGCTGCCGCATGGACCATAAGCCGCAGACCATTGACAAGTAAGGAGCAGCGAATATTTAAACCAGCCTGTTTAAAATGCACCATCGAGCACGGTTAATCCAAAACGCGGATAATTCGCACATGGGTACTCTACCTCCATCAGCCCTTGGACCTCCTGGACAAAGTGATTTCCAGCTCCTTGTGTTTAAGCAGGCTACCTGTATACATGTTTAGACTTTGATCGACAGGGTGTGGCTTGTTAAACAAATGTTGCGGGGGTTGCTAGGTGATACAGTGAGAGAAAACAAGTATTTGATCCCCTTCTGATTTTGTACATTTGCCCACTGACAAATAAATGATCAGTCTATTATTTGAATGGTAGGTTTATTTGAACAGTGAGAGACAGAATAAGAACAAAAAATCCAGAAAAACGCATGTCAAAAATGTTATAAATTGATTTGAATTTTAATGAGGGAATGCGTATTAGACCCCCTCTCAATCAGAAAGATTTCTGGCTCCCAGATGTCTTTTATACAGGTAACGAGCTGAGATTAGGAGCACACTCTTAAAGGGCATGCTCCTAATCTCAGCTTGTTACCTGTATAAAAGACACCTGTCCACAGAAGCAATCAATCAGATTCCAAACTCTCCACCATGGCCAAGACCAAAGAGCTTTCCAAGGATGTCAGGGACAAGATTGCAGACCTACACAAGGCTGAAATGGGCTACAAGACCATTGCTAAGCAGCTTGGTGAGAAGGTGACAACAGTTGGTGCGATTATTCTTAAATGGAAGAAACACAAAAGAACTGTCAATCTGCCTCGGCCTGGGGCTCCATGCAAGATCTCACCTCGTGGAGTTGCAATGATCATGAGAACGGTGAGGAATCAGCCCAGAACTACACGGGAGGATCTTGTCAATGATATCAAGGCAGCTGGGACCATAGTCACCAAGAAAACAATTGGTAACACACTACGCCGTGAAGGACTGAAATCCTGCAGCGCCCGCAAGGTCCCCCTGCTCAAGAAAGCACATATACATGCCCGTCTGAAGTTTGCCAATGAACATCTGAATGATTCGGAGGACAACTGGGTGAAAGTGTTGTGGTCAGATGAGACCAAAATGGAGCTCTTTGGCATCAACTCAACTCGCCGTGTTTGGAGGAGGAGGAATGCTGCCTATGACCCCAAGAACACCATCCCCACCCTCAAACATGGAGGTGGAAACATTATGCTTTGGGGGGTGTTTTTCTGCTAAGGGGACAGGACAACTTCACCGCATCAAAGGGACGATGGACGGGGCCATGTACCGTCAAATCTTGGGTGAGAACCTCCTTCCCTCAGCCAGGCCATTGAAAATGGGTCGTGGATGGGTATTCCAGCATGACAATGCCCCAAAATACACGGCCAAGGCAACAATGGAGTGGCTCAAGAAGAAGCACATTAAGGTCCTGGAGTGGCCTAGCCAGTCTCCAGACCGTAATCCCATAGAAAATCTGTGGAGGGAGCTGAAGGTTCGTGTTGCCAAACGTCAGCCTCGAAACCTAAATGACTTGGAGAAGATCTGCAAAGAGGAGTGGGACAAAATCCCTCCTGAGATGTGTGCAAACCTGGTGGCCAACTACAAGAAACGTCTGATCTCTGTGATTGCCAACAAGGGTTTTGCCACCAAGTACAAAGTCATGTTTTGCAGAGGGGTCAAATATTGATTTCCCTCATTAAAATGCCAATCAATTTATAACATTTTTGACATGCTCTTTTCTGGATTTTTTTGTTTTTATTCTGTCTCTCACTGTTCAAATAAACCTACCATTAAAATTATAGACTGATCATTTCTTTGTCAGTGGGCAAACGTACAAAATCAGCAGGGGATCAAATACTTTTTCCCTCACTGTATAGTCCAGAGCTCTATATGAATACAGGTGGGGGCCCATTCAACGCAAGTTCAGCAACTTTTGCATTAACTTTGCATGGACAATCACAACAGGGTGCTTGCTTTGGCTTTCCAGCTCAAGTAATTTTTGTGACCTTTATGCCTCTGACCCTCACCGACTTCCTCTCTACGATGAAATAAATGTGCCCATTGTTTCTTTACAGAATCTTGAAATGGGGTTACATTAAATGAAACAGTCCTTCATCTGTCCACTGCTAGATGAAGGCTTCCCCATGTTATGTCAGTCATAGTGGTTGTTTGACCATACTTCCGGTCAGTGTGGGTTTGTGAAGTGGGAGGGGACTGGGGGTAGGTATTAGTCGTGGCCGGAAATGTAACTAATAGTCACCGGGTTCACAGTGCAGTACGCTAATGGCTGCACCACTAATCTACCCCGTTTTATTAACCCTACAAATGACTTTAGTTGCTATATGAATGCAAATTGTATAATCGTATTGTGTTTGTTTCATTTCAGAGCTTCTTGTTGGAGTGGTGGGCGTGCTGGCAAGCTACAGTATCACTGTTCGTGAGCTCAAGCTCCTATTTGGCTGCCTGCGCGGAGAGAAGTCCCGATGGGTGAGCTCGAAGCTCTGATGTTGTGGCCGTAAAAATATATAAGAACCAATGATTGGGCACTGCGGTGGCGAGATGTTAACTACCTCACCTGGTATACAGGAGGTTGTGGCTTTGATCCCGACCCTGACGCTGGTATATTTGGAGTTTTGCATGTCTCTTTTCCCGTGGTGGCCATGTATTTTTCTCTGGGTCCTCCGGTTTTTCCCTCCGCATTAGAAATATCCATTTAGAGTATTTGCCTACTATAAATGTCCACGTGATAAGCCACTTCGTCGTTGGGTTATCATTTGCAGCCAGGTCACTTCTGAAAAAGAGCTATATAGTTCAGTGGGCCTTACCTGGCAAAATAAAAGTAGTTTATATCAGCGATCACGAGATTACCATCGCTGAGCAAGAGGAGCCGTTCAGTTTAACGCGTACATTAGGTTCTGCGGCGTGGTAATGCCACGAGGAAATTACGTCCCGTATGGCAGACAAATTGTTTCTTTGCCAGGTTGTTAATAGTTTTTATGTCCACCTACACAATCGTAATTTTCAATCTCGTGAAACAAGAGATTTCTCCACTTGTTTTTTATTGTTTGCCGTAGCTGTCGAACACATTTATGGAATTGCCCCGCAGTGCAGTTGCTGTGGCCATGTGAGGTTGTGCTCATTTACATAATTGTGCTTTAAAAAACGCGATGTTGCATTGGCCCTTAAGGAGTGTGTAATGGAAGAATATTCCCTGATGTCTAAACACTCTTATGTTGCATCTTTCATAGCCCAGAAGTGATGCAACTTTTGCTCAGCTGTACGCTGGACAAAATCAATCATGATATGAACATAACGGGAAGGAAAATAAGCTCCTCGCATGTTAATGAGCAGAGAACTTGCAAATACTGCGATGAATCGCCTTGCTATATTGATAGTTGGCTCCTCTTCCTTGGTGTGCTTGGTGCTGCATAATGCTCCTTCGCTCCGTTTAGATCTTCTTCCCAGCCAACCGGCTGACGCAAGTAATTCACACGGCGATAACGAACCGATGATTCAAATGAACGGATGAGTGAGTGAGCGAATTATAGGTGCTGATTAAAATGGACCGTGTGTTGTGTTTTTCTGGCCGTGTGGTGTGTTGTGCCCTAAGCGCCGGCACGCTGTCAAGCTGCTCTCCGTACTCAACCACATGCCCCAGAGGCACGGCCCAGAAACGTTCTTCAGCTTCCCCGGGGGTAGCGGATCCGTGAGTCCCCCCCCCCCACGACGATTGAATGACTCGGTCGCGGTGTTTGGTTTTGACTAATTATCTTATAACGTTTAACAATGAAATATGATTTTTGCGTTGTCACTTTCGTCTGCCCGAGCCTGCACTGTTTTCATGGTTTGAATTATATCATGCTGTTTGCTAGTTGACATTTGATTTAAATCGCACGGAGCTGAAAGGTTTTTACGGGTGGCTAATTTTCAGGCGTTCGTCGCTTAAAATAATTTCTTAGGTTAGCGATACAGATAGGTGATCGTATTCTTAAAATATATCATATAATTTGTGTTATGAAATTGTCTCACTTCACCCCAGCAGCCCCTAGAGATGCTGTCCTTTAACCCATTGCTATAAAAGTATTGATTGCAGAATCGAGTTTTGACCCTAAAACCTGACAATTTTTGGATCATTATCGCTGGACAATTGTTACATGCCTACTCATATAACAGTTATTCTGGAATCTGGCAGGTTATGGGTGCTTAAAGATTTTTGTTAGGTACTGTGAACTAGGTACTGGTACTGTGAGTTATTGTTTAGAACACTCTATAAAAAAATAAACCAGACCATGCTGATTGTCGTGTGTGTGGTGTGTGTGTGTGGTGTCTGTGTACGTTCAGGCTATCGCCCTGCCACCAATAGCACGCTGGCCGTACCAGAACGGGTTCACCGTCCACATGTGGGTCCGCATGGACCCCGTCACCAGCCTAAACGCCGAGAAGGAGAAGCCCTACCTGTACTGGTGTGTGCCGGCCCGCTCGGCCAGAAATCCGAGGAAGCTTCCTCCTCCCTGCGTTCTTTGGAAAATCATCCTTGAAAATTCCATTGGCCACAGAATCCACTTAAGGATTGCTTAATACCGGGTCGTGCCGCATTGTTGCTCTTTCTCCTCTCGTCCATATTTTCCTGCCCATGACCTCCCTTCCCGCCCCCCCCCCCCCACCCTTTATCCCCATAACCCCCTTCTACACTAATGTAAGCCCCCGTGTTTGGAAGCATCTTGAGATGAGACGTGATATCAGGCGCCTTGAGTTGCTGAGGCTTTAAAAGCGAACGGCACGTAAATGCGAAGGTTATAACGTGTGTGTGTTTCTTTGTCCACGTGTGCGTGGTGGGCGCTGGTTCAGCTTCCGCACAAGCAAGGGTGTCGGCTACTCCAGCCACTTCATGGGAAGCTGCCTCACTGTAACTGCACTCAAGTCCAAGGGCAAAGGCTCCCAGCACTGCATTCAGTACGACTTCCAGCCCAAGAAGGTTTGGCACTTCTCTTGTTATTGTTGCAAAATTCCGGTTCCAGGCACTTTCACGGAGAATGTGTGAAAATTACAAAATCAGTAGGAGCCATTGATTTATTTCTTGCCGGCCCCTGGCAGTTTTGGCATTGAATTATGAAAGCATATTTATTTTTGTTAAATTGAGTTTCAAAAAATATATTGTTTCGGTCAATTTCATCCCAATTGTGCTTTCAGCGACATGTCATGAGACGAACGATTCATTGGAATCTCTTGCAGAGCAGTGCATTGCTGCGTTTTAGAGAACGGGCCAAGTAAGCAGATATCACAGAGCAACTACTGAGATCCCGTCAAGTCACCTCCGGTCCACAATATAGGGGGAGAGTACATTTCCCAGGATCTCAGCTGTGCCAGGTTAGCCACTTTGACCTCTGAGCCAAACTGTCCAACTCTTTATTGATGTTGCAAATGTTGGTGCCAGGCAACTTGTGTGGAGAAAGAAAAAAAACATTTGGATCCACAACATTTCTTCCCTGCAGGGAATTATCAATACGGCCAATATGGATTTTAACATGAGTAAGAAGAGCCCATTATATATGCTGGTATCGTATTCCCCAATCCCAAATGTGGAAAATTACTGAAAACTTAAGATGAGAAATGCAACCGTCTTCGCATAACTACGGCGCCGTGGGTCTCGCATACAGCCGCCGCATTGATTCCCAATGAGCCTCTGGCTGGTTAAGTAAAGGCCATTGCATTTAATTGCCCTGCTGCGGTTGAGCTTTATTTTATGGCACGTTCGTGCTCTTTAAAAAAAGAAACCCAGGTGACCACACTTGCTCCCAAGTGCTTAACTTGTGAACCCAACTGTGCACGGAACTCTGCAGGCATGAACTGCGCTGCCCGAATGCATTGCATTATAAATGCGATGTGGCACAGTGTGATTGACGACGTCCCGGTATATTGTCAGCTATTGGGGAATATATATATTTTTTTCCCCGACCCACTCCAGCCATGCATTTTTGATGCAACTGACCGAATAATCTATACAAGTGAGATTCCCACAGGGCTCCGTACAGGGCTTTGGGCAGGCGTATGAATTTTGGAATGATTGACGCCTGTAGGCTTGCCTCGTGAAAATTGGCACTGTGGCACACACAGTTTGTGATGATATGTGTGCTGCATGTACCAATCATTGCTAGTTTATGCCAAATGGTTTGTTTGGCCCGAATTGAACTTTAAGCTGCTGCTCTGCCAATTTTTTAAAAAGCACCCACAGTGCATCATGTTTTTCCCCATATTTGTGCGCCTATATATTATATTTGTTTGTGCAATGCATGGTATGTGCATTGAATCGCACGTGTAAGGTTTTATATTTTACTATTTGTTCTTTCAGCACTGTTTTTGGCTGAACCGCTGACACTTTCGAATTAGTTTTTGTCTGCTCCTCTGTATGGATTCACATCACTATTCCAACCACTAAAGAAGCTAATATTCACTACGATGCCAATTCTTGAATCTAGTCACAACCCTGAGTTTGCCACACACTGTCGAATCACCGTTGGGTGAATCATCCTATCCGAAATGCACACTGCCCAGCTAACCGTGCCATGTGCACAGGTATGTGTACCACCCTTGTGTCAAGACATTGCTGGACAATTGCCATGCCTCTACTTAGGAAAATTCGACTTACGAACTTTCAGAGATATGAACAAACCTGTACGCGTGTCCAGTTACCTGTTGGGACCGAGAGTTGCAAGTTAAACTGCCGCGCAATAGATGGCGGTGGTGGCATCTACGTCTCCAGAACATGAAGAACCAGTAGCATCTACATCTACAGGAGATTATACAACTTTAAAGCCATTCCCTGTGTTAAGTGTACAACATGTTTGGAATCGACAGGAGTAAAGTTGGACTTACGAACAAATAGACTTACGGACAGTCACCTCTGGAACCTAACTCGTTCTTAAGTAGAGGAGTTCCTGTAGTTCATCTTGTGGTGCCGTCTGCGCGTGTGTTCCGACAGTGGTACATGATCACAATCGTCCACGTGTACAATCGTTGGAAGAACTGTGAGATCCGCTGCTACGTGGATGGCAACTTGGTGTCGTCGGGGGACATGGCCTGGTACATCAGCACCAATGATGTAAGATTTCTGTCGAGGTTTATGTTTGAGTTGGGTGATGATGTGTTGTTTGTTTCATGCCTAGAGTCGGCCGCTCGAATGAGCATTGTGTTATATCAGAATGCTGAACTTTTACGATTTGTAGGCAATGTATAGCTGGTAAGTTTTTTTTAGTGAGCGAGTGTTCCTGTGCAGCTATATTTATAATATTTAAAACCATGTTTTGGTTTTGATTATTTTTAATATAATTTGTTAGCATTGTTGATATTAACATTGCACCGTTTTTTTCCATTTACGAGTTTTCCATTGCAAGAGACATTTGTCTTAATTGACACTCCTGGTTGTAAATATACTTACGTTTGTATAAATGGGTTAACTTACCATTTGAAGATCACACACGAATGTTTGTGTGAAAATTACCCTACGAAATTTAGTTATTTGTCATATATTACATTTGTTTTTGAAGAGTTGATATTCCTTTGCTTAAAGGAGAAGTGGGTGGTTCTCATCTCTCCTGACAGTCCTGAGCCATTGGAGGAAATTCCACATTTCTATGGTGGGGAAGAGTCTTTCCAAAATAAAACTGCTCTTCGACTTCCATAATCCAGACCGTTGATTAAAAATATCACAATCTAAACCACAATAGTTTTTTGTTTTCTCACCAACATGAAACTGTGTTAAGATGTGAAATAAAAGCAGTTAATTGTCACTTTTGTGACTTTTATTGCTTTGAAGGTGGTAACGGTCGATAGCACCCGTCCGGACTTAGCTCGCACTGCTCATTCTTCCCGCTCCTCCTACCCACTCCTCGTGGATCCCCGCTTACCCCCACTTCCGCCCCCTCCGCTTCCCCCCCTCCCGCTGCCCCTGCTGCTCCCCCCCCCCCCCAACAGACCTTTGACAAGTGCTACCTGGGCTCGGCGGACAACATCGACGCCGACCGCACGTTCAGCGGGCAGATGTCGGCCGTCTATCTCTTCAGCGAGGCCCTCAACGGCTCGCAAGTGGCGGCCATTTTCCAGCTGGGGCCCGGATACAAAGTGAGCAATGCGTCGCGACTTGCGTGTGCTCGGGTGCGGCTGTCGGCACAAGCACCGAGGACGTCGGCAAAACACAGCCCCCCGCCCCCCCCCGCTCGAAGCTGGGGGTAGCGGCTGTGTTTTTTGCTTTGATTGGGGAATGAGACTTTGGTTGCTTGGCCAGGTGGTGCTGATTTGTTTAAGTTTTTGCCAGGTAAGGCTCACCGAGCTTTCGAGCTCTTTTTCAGAAGTAACCTCGCCATAAATATCACGTGGAAATTTTTTGCGGCCAAATACTCAGCGCACGTTTCTAAATGTAGAGGGAAAAATCGGAGGACCCAGAGAAAAATCCACGTGACCACGGGGAGAAAGACATGCAAACTCCAAATATACAGACATCAGGGTTGGGATTGAACCCACGGCCTCCTGTATACCAGGCGAGGTAGTTAACATCTCGCCACAGGGTAGTCAAACTCTTGTCGTGTGGGGCTGCACGTTGGGATGAAACGTGGGAGCGAGAGCGATGGTGTTTTACGTTGCTCACTTCCCACTGCTCATAGGATGATTTATCCCTTGTCTGGCTCACAGAGGCAGCTTCCATGCGGATGCAAAATTCCCTTCCATAATTGTCTAGGTTTATTGGTCTCTTGTCCAGTGAGGCTGAATGCTAAACATGTAAAGATAATCTATTTGTCGGTAAAGTAATTTCTTACGCTTATGATACGTGGATGGGATTGTGCTTGTGAAACTTAGTGGAATTATAGGTCAGTGGTGGGATATATTGATTGACTCTAAACAAAACTCTACAAATGAGATGGAATAAACAATAAACTATATGGAATAGCTGAAACGATCTCAAATCAATTCCTAAATGGAGACTTTTTTCATCGTTTTGGCGGCGGTGTGAATCGTTCTCAATACAACTCGCGAATGCAAATTCCGCGCCCACATCCTCCACCCTCTGTCCCCCGACCCCTCCTCGCACACCACAGAACACCTTCAAGTTTGAGACGGAGAGTGACCTGCACCTGCCCGAGCACCACCAGTTTGTGCTGTACGAGGGTCGGCTCGCCGGCTACCTGGCCTTCACCTACAACGCCAAGGCCACAGACGGGCAGCTGTGCTTGGAGTCGTCTCCCCGTGACACCACGTCCATCTTCGTGCACACGCCGCACGCCCTCATGCTGCAGGCACGTCGCGCTGTCCGCTGCACACTGCTGCGTGCTGCCATGCTGCGTGGCACACGGTGCCACGCTGCGTTGTATCATAGAGCTGCGTACGAGCGCTACACTGCATTACATCGTACCACATGGTACTGCACTGGATTACATAGTGCTGCATAACACATGTTCACGCTGCACATCACGGTACCCCGGTACCCAGTACTGCATAACACAGCACCATGGTACTCTTCAGAGTAACTCGATAAGCTGCCCAGTCTGAAACTGCACTAAACATCACGAAAAGGTTTGTGTGTGTGGTGAGGGATGAATGTGGTGCAGCAGAGTTAGCCCTGTTTTGAGAGTGGGCTGCTGGTTGTTGTGTGTCTACCCATGTGCGTCTATTATAGTGCAACAAACGAGGGCTGCCCACTTGCTGTAAGCATTCTGCTGGCAGAGTGGAGGGGGGCGTGATGACTTACGGCATTCCGTGTGTCTTCGCCCAGGAGACCCTCACCGAGTCGTTGATCCTGCATCGGGATGTTTGGCCTTATTCCATGAATGAGTGTTTGGCATGTGGGAGGAAACTGGGTTACCCCGAGAAACCCCACCATGCATACAAAAGTCTTATCTCTCAAAGCTCCACACAAAGATAGTTTCAAGAAGGAACCCCCTGGTATACACTGCCATGTTTTTGCTGCCTGGCAGTCTACGCCCACCCACAACAGCTGGAATTTTCACGCAGTTTACCATCGGAGTACAAAGCGTACTCAACCCCGCTTAGCTTCCGAGATGCGATGAGATCGGGCGCATTCAGGGCGATGCGGTCGCAGTCTCGTGAAGTAAGGCCGCATAGTTTAGTGGGCAGCCAAAGCTCCATGTGGAGACAGTTGGCACCGAGTTGATGACTCGGCATTTGCCGCTGTCCAGACAATGCATTCCTGAAGGGCGTTAATGAGGCGTAACGCCTGCTGTGACGTGACTCGGAGGAATATGCCATTGTGAGCTGGTGACGTAATAAAAGTCCTGCTTTTTTTACAATAACCAACGGCACCTCCCACACCGTCTACTCCCTTACTTTAGTTCTTCTCCTACCTTCTCCCCATATAAAGGTACACGCACCCCGCTCGCGGTCCCCACTCGCTGGGGCAGTGAGCCCAATCTCCTTCCTCCTCGAAATTCTGGAGCTTGTGGTTTGGGACTTCTTTCTGGGGAGTCGCGGTTCATGCCGTGTATCGGGCACCGACTGAAATATTATAGAAACGTTTTGGGTAGGCCTTCCTCTAGCAGATTATCGCGATAAAATAATGATGACCATGTTCCTGTGTGTGATGTTGTCGCTGATGATGTTGATAATTCGGAAAATTAATAACGATGATGTTCCCGTGTGTGCCGTAGTGCGTGAAAGCGGTGGTGACGAACCCGATCCACAGCGCCATGCACTCCATCGGCGGTGTTCAGGTTCTCTTCCCGCTCTTCGGGCAGCTCGACTACCTGGAGCACAACAGTGAGGAGATGAACACCTCTGTCTGGTGAGAGCTGACCGCCGCGGAAATCGCTCATGCAACCGGGGGTGCTGGTGCGTGCACCTGCGCTCCGGCGGTTTGGGGGTAAGGATAGGGGGATCATGCCAGTGGCGGCGCTTTTGAGTGGGCAGCTGGTGCAACCGCACCGAGACCAACGCCTCTGGCTACAAATATTTGGGAAATTGGACAGGGTCGGGGGTGGGGGGGCCCTCACTTCATTCTTTGTCCCAGGGCCCATTCCAAACACGATCACACAGATTTGTGAAACTCCCAAACCCACTTGTTTGTAAAGTGGCCACAGGCTGTGGCAGTTCAGCAAATGGGTTGTGAACTCCTGTGCGATGACCATTCGAGTGGTTATTCCTTCGTATACATCAACTCTGTCTGGGTACGCAGGCTCTCTCTTACACGCAAAACACTTCTGAATGGAACTGGTCAAACATCCCCCAAAGCTTTGCTCAAAAATAGAACTGAGACTCGGTGAGACTTTCCTGAATAAACACATTTCTTATTTACAGCAATGTGCATTGCTGTAAATGAGTTAATGTGGGAGATCCTCTGTTTATAGTTCTTTCTGGCTTGTGTAAAAATACATACTTGAAAATGACATGCTAGGTCAGACATGGGCAAAGTACGGCCCCTGGGCCGTATACGGCCCGTTGGGCTTTTTAATCCGGTCCGCCGAACTTGTCCAAATATTATTTTTATTAAATTAAATTTTACCTTTCTCCTGTAATGCCCCCATTTCCCAATTAGATGGCGCACTTTGACCGGGAGCTACGACATGTTTTTGTATTGTTCATGTTCGTACAATTTGTTAAATTGCCTTGCAAATAAATGCTTTGCTACCTGTTAAAGGCCAAATCCTTTCACGTAATGATTTTTACATGTCATTTATATTAGTTCACACAAACACTCCATCCATCTGTTCCTGGCCCGGCCCCTCTGTCAAATTTTAGAACCCATTGTGGCCCGCGAGTCCAAAAATTTGCCCACCCCTGTGCTAGGTCATGATGATAATAATAATTATAGTGAAAAGTGATCACATTGTCATTTATTTTGTGATTTATTTATCCTTTTACTTGAAAGTGGCGAGCGTCAATTGAGATAGATATCCATTGTGAACAATGACTGCTCAATATTGAGGGCTCAACTCGACATGCGCTATGAGAATATGTATAAATGTTCCAATGTTTTCTTCATGCAAATGAAAGCGGAGAAACGAAATTAAGAAAACATTACTGTCACGAATCTAATTTATCGCACCATATACAAAATGTTTTGTCAGTAAGGGCTCTTGCATTAAGTTTATTTTAGCATATCACAGTTGAGGGCTTTGCCTAAGATGACGTTTTTATTTGATTAGTTTTTTTTTATAATGGTAATTGATTCCAACACTTGGGCCTTTTATTATTATTTACACAGATGATATCTCAAATGTGATTATATCTCAAGGCAACAGAACTATGCCCACTGTTTCTGTACACGAGTGCCTAAACGCAGCCACATGCGGTCTCTCTATAAACCCACATTGTGTTGTTAACACTCACTCGGAGATTCAGACTTGCATACAAACCAATAAATGCACACAGTGACCAATCGATTCTGAGAGCCATAGACTCGCACACAGACCTACGACTGGCTGCCCTCTCCACAAAATAGATGGAGATGTGGTCGCATTTCCACGCTGTTTAAATCCACATTGTGCTGCATTCGTATCTCCCGCTGTGCAGTGGCACCTTGCTGGCCTTCCTGCTGGACTTACTTAAGAGCTCCGTCATCATGCAGGAGCAGATGGTGTCCAGCAAGGGCTTTCTGCTCATCGGTGCTCATCTGGAGAAGGTAACCATGCTGCCGGGCGTTGGCACTGGCTGGTGGGAGGGGGGGGGGGGGGCGGGCTCGTGCTGGGATGGGTTTAGCCCTCCGTTGTGTTTTCGGGTTGTGCCGCGCGTTGTGCTGCTCGAACCCTTTCCTCGTTCCAAACACAACCGCAAGTCGCTGACTGGGTCCCGTTCACCGCCGGATCTCGGAACGCGCGAGCGGTTTAGCGTTAGTTTTATTTAGAGGGGCATAGCGCCGCTGATTTTGAAGATAATTGTACCCACCGCAGAGAACCGTAGCGACACGACCGCACTCTACGATAGTTAGCGCCAAACTGTGCTACATGCCCTCCCGTTCCGATGACGTGCAAATTGGAAGTAAAACTGACGGCGTACACATACGTCATTGGAATAGGAAAGAGTTAATGTTTGACGTTTTGCTCCACGGAGAGCAAAACATCAGACATCATTCCTGAAGGCTCTCACAGCACATGGAGGGATACGTCAGAAATGATGTCGCACAGCACGCAATACAACCCAAAAATGCATCGGAGAGCTACAGTGAGGGAAAAAAGCATTTGATCCCCTGCTGATTTTGTACGTTTACCCACTGACAAAGAGAGAGACAGAATAACAACAAGAAAATCCAGAAAAATGCATGTCAAAAATGTTATGAATTAATTTGCATTTTAATGAGGGAAATCAGTATTTGACCCCCTCTCAAACAGAAAGATTTCTGGCTCCCAGGTGTCTTTTATACAGGTAACGAGCTGAGATTAGGAGCACACTCTTAAAGGGAGTGCTCCTAATCTCAGTTTGTTACCTGTATAAAAGACACCTGTCCACAGAAGCAATCAATCAATCAGATTCCAAACTCTCCACCATGGCCAAGACCAAAGAGCTCTCCAAGGATGTCAGGGACAAGATTGTAGACCTACACAAGGCTGGAATGGGCTACAAGACCATTGCCAAGCAGCTTGGTGAGAAGGTGACAACAGTTGGTGCGATTATTTGCAAATGGAAGAAACACAAAATAACTGTCAATCTCCCTCGGCCTGGGGCTCCATGCAAGATCTCACCTCGTGGAGTTGCAATGATCATGCGAACGGTGAGGAATCAGCCCAGAACTACACGGGAGGATCTTGTCAATGATCTCAAGGCAGCTGGGACCATAGTCACCAAGAAAACAATTGGTAACACACTACGCCGTGAAGGACTGAAATCCTGCAGCGCCCGCAAGGTCCCTCTGCTCAAGAAAGCACATATACATGCCCGTCTGAAGTTTGCCAATGAACATCTGAATGATTCAGAGGACAACTGGGTGAAAGTGTTGTGGTCAGATGAGACCAAAATGGAGTTCTTTGGCATCAACTCAACTCGCCGTGTTTGGAGGAGGAGGAATGCTGCCTATGACCCCAAGAACACCATCCCCACCCTCAAACATGGAGGAGGAAACATTATGCTTTGGGGGTGTTTTTCTGCTAAGGGGACAGGACAACTGCACCGCATCAAAGGGACGATGGACGGGGCCATGTACCGTCAAATCTTGGGTGAGAACCTCCTTCCCTCAGCCAGGGCATTGAAAATGGGTCGTGGATGGGTATTCCAGCATGACAGTAACCCAAAACACATGGCCAAGGCTACAAAGGAGTGGCTCAAGAAGAAGCACATTAAGGTCCTGGAGTGGCCTAGCCAGTCTCCAGACCTTAATCCTATAGAAAATCTGTGGAGGGAGCTGAAGGTTCGAGTTACCAAACGTCAGCCTCGAAATCTTAATGACTTGGAGAAGATCTGCAAAGAGGAGTGGGACAAAATCCCTCCTGAGATGTGTGCAAACCTGGTGGCCAACTACAAGAAACGTCTGATCTCTGTGATTGCCAACAAGGGTTTTGCCACCAAGTACTAAGTCATGTTTTGCAGAGGGGTCAAATACTTATTTCCCTCATTAAAATGCAAATCAATTTATAACATTTCGATTTAAAGCTTTCGTGACTGCAAGGATTAATCTTCTTTGGGTCTTTCGGTAAAGTCACGTAGAATGAGAATAAAATAATAAAATAGCACAATAAAATTCTAACGATGTTTCGGCCACAACGCAAGCGGCCGTCTTTAGGTGAAAGGAACAGACCTGTGCTATTTTATTATTTTATTCTCATTCTACGTGACTTTACCAAAAGAACCAAAGAAGAATTTTGAACATTTTTGACATGCGTTTTTCTGGATTTTTTTGTTGGTATTCTGTCTCTCACTGTTCAAATAAACCTACCATTAAAATTATAGACTGATCATTTCTTTGTCAGTGGGCAAACATACAAAATCAGCAGGGGATCAAATACTTTTTTCCCTCACTGTATACACCACAACCGCAAAATTATGTGCAGTAATAGGGGATGGATTTGTTTAGGGCCAAGGCATTGCCCCAAGAAAATATGCCGAATTAGTGGCTTGTGCGTTCTTGACTCCTCACAATCATAGTTTGTTTCCTTATGTTTGAATATTTAGTTTTTTATCCACTTGTATTGCAGATGTTCTCTCGGTGTTGTGACGAGATCAAAATTCATTCCGATGTCTCACAGAGCAGGCACAGCCCTACACATGAGAGAGTGACTCACAGAAGCAGACATCATGGAACTATTTCCGATATCACTTGATATGATCTTTGGTTCACACTTGGGTTATTTTTTTTCATTGGAACTTTTGGCATGAAAATAATGTCATGAATGAATTAATGTTTATATCCAAAACATAATTACAAATTAAGGTTATTTCATAAACTATGATATAGAGAATGTAATATTCCCATCTAGTAGCTGATTAGTGCAGCTTCAATGCTTGAGTGATGGATAAATAATGTCGTAAGCCATTTCAAAGTGCTAGGCCACTGATGACCATGGGTCATATCAAATGAAATCACAGGCCTTGTGATTCCCCACTGCTGTGTTTAGAGAATGAAACATTTAAAGTACATACATTTAAAATCATTAAACTGCTTTGGCCTAATATGTTTTGCTGATGCGTGTTGACGCTGATGGAGACACCTTTGTAATGAACGTTACAGGTTTATTAATTTAGTCCCTAACAGAGTGGGCGATCTTTAAGCCCAGCATCCTCCTCCATTAAGGGTATCGAAATTGAAACCTGAAAATGTCACATCCCGTGTCACCTAATTTTTTAAGCAGATGTCCACCGTGGGCGTCTCCGCACCGGGTCTTAATTAAATTACACAAAGGGAGAGAAATTGCACGAGAGGGGAAGGTGGCGGGTGGCACCGTTCTTTCGCTTTGCCATCTGCCACCTCGCGGAGCGTACGGAATGTTCCGTCCGTCGGCAGACTCGCATCGCCGCGCGTTCAGAGGCGCGCGCCTGCGACTCTTGCGCGCGTCATTTGGCGGTTCCAACCGCGGCGCTGCATGCGACCACGACTCACGATTGATTAATTCATTCATTGACAGGCAGTCGGCAATGCTTTCATGTCGGAATAAAACCGCACCTTCCGATTAGCACAGTTGTTTTCATACGGTACGAAAGAAGTTCAACATACGTACATACATACATCCTCTACTCTGTGGGTGGCCACGTGTAGCGGCACTTATCTCTAATCTACGGATTTGGGGGAGGGTAGATAAATGTGTGGTCGGTGGCAGTGCCACAAGTTGGTCTTTGTCGTGTAGATACAGTGTGGATTTGCATAGCATCAAATGTGGCCGCATCTCAAGACACTGCGCTGAAACAAGGGGCCTAAGTATTCTGTTAGAGTCAGTCGGCCACGGAGAAGAGACAAAGGCATTGAGCCGTGGTGTTAAACCTGGGTACGGAGTCAACATGGTGGATGGATGGGGCAGGGAGCTCCAGGAAGTGGCAAAAGAGGAATGAGCATTGTCCGTAGGTTTCTCTGCATATACTGTGTTTTTTTTTCTTGCACGCCAACAATTTACACCTCTAACTGGGGTTATTTATCCCAAGCAGGAGTCTTTTTCGCTGTAGTCCACAGGCTCGGCAATATTGTTGAAGTTTAATGCACTACAAGCATGTTGCAACCCCATAGACAAACAAATGTGTTATCTCTTTGGTACATAGGTTAGCTGTGTGTTCCGGGCTGTCTGACACAAGGTTCAAGCCTTATTAATGATAATCTTAAAACTAAATTCTGCGAGGCATGCTCTAAGTGATGCCACTGAATTGATGTTTTGTTACAAAAATAACTCGAGTAATGCCACATTAACATCACCAGAGTGTGCACAACTTGGATTTTTCATTCCAGTTTTTCATTAAAGGAAAGTTCAAAAATCATATTAAACAGCGCAGCACACTCTGCATAGGTGAATACGTACAAAATTAGAGCTGTTTGATTTGATATTTGCTTGGCATTTTGCCTTTTAATGAAGATCATATATTGTTTTTGAAATAGGACAGAATAGATTATTAAGAAAGCAACCTCTGAATATAAAAAAAAATCAGCAAATTTATGCCAATCTTGTCTCGGCTTAATATCATAGATCAAGGAATAGGAATAGGTTTTACCCTTTCAACTGGCACAAAAACTGACACCTTTATTCAAGGCATCATGTTTGCAAATCATAGATTTAAATCATAGATCAAATCATCCATTTGGAACCCTTGCAGAGCAGCGCAGTCCTTCATGCTCGAGAGCGGTCCACGGAAGAAAATATTGAAGCTACCTCTGCGATCCCTTTTTCTTCAAGTGACATCTGATCCACACAGTAGGGAACAGCACTTTACAACCATCCTGCCATTGAAAGAAATGTTCATCGGATGACAGTCAAACCATTTTTTTTTATATTCTCGCAGCTGGAATTTAGCCAATTTAAGTGCAAAACTAAATGTAATGTCACGGGAGTATTCTTCAGCAGTCATTGGTGACTGGCTGAGACTGTCACCTCACTAAGAATGAAAGCCTGGTTTATTCACCGTCAGCTGAAGCCTGCAATCAAACCTAGGATCTCTGCAGTCTCACCCCTAAGCCACCAGTCCAGCTCCATAATGTGAATTTTAAAGACAGCTGTGGAGTCATTTGGAGTGACCTCATTTGGAAAGACCCCACAGCTCCAATTAGCACGGTTGGCTACGTACGGTGCGCACCTCCGATTAGCGCGGTCGGCTACGTATGGTGCGAAAGACGTTGGACATGCATACTTTCCTGGAAGATTAGCCCATTATACGCCACGATGTGTCACATCAGCTTCTGGATTGAAACTAAAAGGCGCACGCGCTGGATTAGGTTGCGATTCTGTGTCTTTGAGAACCTGTGTATGATCACGGCGATCATCTAGTTTTCAAAACTGCGACGAGTTCTCTTATGAGTGACATGCCTCCTCATCCTTGCCGCGCGCTGAGACCACTCCTCTGTCCATCTCTCTCTCCTTCGTGCGTTGTCTTTCAGGCATCGACACAGCACTTGACACTCAGCGTGGTTGGGCACCTTCTGGGTTTCACCAAGTACCTGGAGAGCATTCCCAACGGAGCGCCGCTCCTCAAGCAACTCTGCGATTACATCCTCTTCAACCCCGCCATCTGGGTGCACGTCGACGCCAATGTATGCTTGCTGTCCACGATTATTTGCATCCTCTCGGGCCTGGCCTATGAACTTAAACTAAACTATTTTTTATTTTACCAGTTAAGGCACCAACTGAGCTATATAGCTCTTTTTCAGAAGCGTCCTGACCACAAATCATAGCCCAGCTAAGTGGCTTATCATGTGGAAATTTATAGCAGCCAAATATTCGAAAAGCATGTTTCTAAATGCGGAGGGAAAAACCCGGAGGATCCAGAGAAAAATCCACGCGACCACGGGGAGAACATGCAAACTCCAAATATACAGGCGTCAGGGTCGTGATCGAACCCACGACCTCCTGTATACCGGGCGAGGTGTTTAATATCTTGCGATTCCTATTAGGGGCTGTACACCCCTGATGTGCATGGTGTAGCCAGCAGCTTTCCCGATCTTCTAATCGACGAATATAGTAACTCCCGCTTAGGCTCGAGACAGCTGCCATGAAAAATGGGTTTACAAAGGCTTTTGCTTGAGCATGCAAAGCATAACTTCGTTATTTTTGTTTTATTTCGGCTTCCAGTGCTGAAGCGTCCTTGTCATTTGCCCGCTGCAGGTACAGCAGACCCTGTACACCTACCTGGCCAATGAGTTCGTAAAGAAGACGCGCATCTTCAATGCGGTGCGCCGCATTGGCACGGCGATCCAGGTGCTGCACACGCTCAAGCACTACTACTGGTTGGTGAACCCCATGGACCGCAGCGGCACGGTGCCCCGCGGACTCGGTGAGAAATCCTCGTTGTCGTCGTCATCAGCCATGATCAATCCACTGCTGGATCAAGGCCTCCCCAAGTCATCGCTGTCTCGCCTGAGCCTGCGATGTAATAACCTCCGCCACCACCAGCATCTCATTTATAGACTTAACAACAAATAAATGATGCACAGTGCTTTGTTGGTATAATGCTCGATGAAGGCCTCTCTGTGCCTGTTCATTTATGGGGGGTTTTTTGACCATACTTCACCACGCTGGGAAGTCGCGGGTTGGTGAAGGCGGGTGGCCAGGAACGGTCCGGATGGTACTCGCCACCGATGTTAGCTGTGGCCGGGAAATGAACTCGGGTCACCAGGTTCATAGTGCAGTGCACAAACCACTGCGCCACTTCTAAATAAAATACACCTGGCTGAAATTAAAAAAATTCCGGCCATGGTAACTAAGTGGTGGTGGGACAGTGGCATCCTAACCTCGGTGACGCTATGTATGTATGTATTATTTTGTTAATCAGTGGTGGGGCCGGGGGGGAGAATGACAACAAACAACAACAAATTAAACACAAAAAGCAATTCCACAGAAATGAGTTTTCAATATCGATTTAAAAGTGCATAGCTCCAGTGGCTTCCTATTATCGGAGAAACGCGCGATGCAGTGACTGGGGGTCCAAGTGTTTGATGTTGTGGGTCAGCGTGTTGTTGTTGTGGGTCCATGCATTATTGTTGTGGGTCCATGACAATGTTTGTGGGGTCTACCTGTTGTTGTGGGTCCACGTGTTTTGTTGTTGTTGTCGGTCCACGTGTTGTTATTGTGGGTCCACAACAATATTGTGGGTTCACATGTTATTGTGGGTCCACGACAATGTTGTGGGTTCCCGTGGTCCACGTGTGGTTGTTGTTGTGGGTCCACGTGTTGTTGGCATCGCTGGTGTGATGGTGTCGTGGTGTGATGCTGCAGACGGACCCAGGCCCAGTCGCGACGACATGGCCTCTCTCCGTGCCTACCTCCTGCTCTTTCTCAAACAGCTCATTCTCAAGGTGACCTGCAATACCTGCACTTTCATTCAGGGAAAGCCTCGTTCGAAACCCTTTACCACAACAATATTAATTGGATACATCTTGTTAAACTCAACCATCTCTAAACACTCATTATTTGACTAAAACCATCTTAATTTATAGAGGAATCGCAAAGCTTGGGAAATTGTTTGCGCCAGCTCACTACCTGGGCTGCCTTATGGCTTGGTTCCTCAGCGATTGCGAAAATAAGTTTTTGCATGACCGACGACGTGATATATAAAACTAAACATTATTGTTCTTTTTTGACCAAAACATAAAAAGATTACGTCATTGAGGTTGAAGGACTGATACTCTGTAGCCATTATACGTGAAGCAACACAAATTGGTTTGGTGCACCCGATTTTTGAAAGGTGATTTGCACTGCATTATGGACTACAGTAACTGGGTATTCATTAACTCTTGATGCATATTTTAACACGGGACCCGAACCGGCAAAGCATTCGGTTCAACTAAACTGATGAAAACGCAGAAGAAGAAAAAAAAACTCGCGCTAGGAGAGAGAGCTTAAAACCGTGCATCACCGACACGTCATTTCTCTAGGAATCGGTGTCTCAAATTCCATCCTTGCACTATCCTCCAACCCCACACACAACCTGAGTGTGGACAACAAGCGCGCATCGTAACAACTGCAAGCCAGATATTTCTAGGATACTACTTCACATTGGTCATTTATAATGTGACTTGCACACTAAACTAATGACTGTAATGGGGTCCCGGGATAGACAGTTATGAAAAAAACAAGAGAAAACAGCCACAACCAACCGGTTTTTTTCTCCTGGCTCTGTCGTACACCGGCGGTGGGTGTAGTTGTCCGGCATAGACATCGCCGCTACTCCCATGGCAGGGCTTTTACAGGACTCACGTCAGGTCAAGTTGACCTCGGAGTGGGGGGGGGGCTCTCAGACTCTGTGAGCATAGCAAGTCAAGTTGACCTCAAGTGAGAAGAAAAACAGCACTTTTAAAGACGATGTCATACGCATGCGTCAATAACGCTGTTGCCTTGAAAAGGAAAAATACGTAACAGGTGAATTTTTGGGCTTATAGCCCTTCTTCATAGCACAGAGCACGCGTGCTATGAAGAAGGGCCATTGCCCAAAACTTTATCCGTTGTATATTTTTCCTTGTCAGGCCACAGTGTTATTGACGAATGTGTCAGGTTTTGTTGCTCGTTATTTGTGCTTGTGCACCACTGCCCATTGCAGCGTCACAAAATAATGCTGTCGAAGTGAGAGGGTGAAGTCAAATGTGAGATTGTGTCCGTGGATGGGAAGCTTTGTGAACCGGTCGTTACCCACAAGGCATCTTTGCCCCGCTGGACGGGAGGTGATGGGTGGGGCTTGGTGACATCATCGGCATCATCAGCCACGTCACAATGGGCGTGGCTTGTCGAGGGATTCCGGCCTATAGGAGGCATGATGTGGATTGAGGGATCCAGGATGGGTTCAGATATTAATTGCCACTTATCTTAGCCACGACCAGGAATCACGTTCTACGATGCTGATTACACGTTGATGCCTTGATGTTGTTGTGTATGTCTGGCTTACTTTAATTCCTGGACTGCTGCTTTCATTTCACAGGAAGGAGGGCTCAAACCGGATGAGCTCCAAAGCATCTTAAATTACCTGCTCACTGTTCACGAAGTAAGCAACTGTACGCACTCCCTTCACTTTCTTTGTCCCTCGCGTCGCTATTTTCACACTGTTTTGACGTGACCACGATTACACGTACAGCACCTTTATCAGTCCACTGCTGGGACGAGTGCTTCCTACATCACGTGGGTCATTTGACCATACTTGACCACGCTGGTCCAGCGTGCTTTAGTGGGAGGGATAAGGAATCCAGGACCGGCGGTTCAGATATCGCTCTCCACAGATGTTAGCTGTGGCCGGGAATTGAACTCCAGTAGCCAGGTTAACGGTGCAGTACACTATAACCACTGGGCCACCACTCCATTGACCTGTTTTTGAAGGGGAGGTGGTGTAGGCCAAGAAGCATAGAAGTACAGCGCAACGATTGAACATTACTACATTGCTTTCTGCTTCCCACAGTGTATTCCCCAACAATCTAAATTCATTTTTTTTTAAGTTGCCGTGAAGAAAAACATCAACAAAAAAATCTAAATTGTTTAATAATGAAACTAATTTTTAAAACTCATTTCCTGCATGTCCTGCAGATATATTTTTGGCACAGCGTGCATCTAATAAGTGAAGGCCTGTGTGCAAAGCTTTAGTTTGATGGGCAGAATGTTTTTGATGTTTGTTTTATAAGTTCTAACCTAATCATGTAAGTTCGTATTTAATAACAAAGCAAATCCTACGCCCAAATGCCGTGCTGTTGATTAATGTGCTTCAGACAAAAAGGCATTGGCAATAATTGAGGAGACACGTACACATCCTGGATGGTTGAGATAATCTGCTTGCCATTTAGGAACCTAAAAAAAAGATAACTTTATGATATTATTTTAACTGTTTATAGTCATTCGATGTAATTTCTCTTAAAAAAATACAATGATGCGGCTGTGAATGACGGCATTGATATATTAACAAGTATGAATGGTTATGAAAACACAAGTCGAATAATGGGTGAAATGAATGATTATTTACAAACATTTGGTTCCCAGAATTTTCATGTGACTGTCTAATTAAACATGACTGAAATCCGGATTGTAATTTAAATTACATATTTATGCAGTATATCTGCCGTTGACCAAATTACTCAGAATGCACACGATATCACCAGATCTCAGAAGATAAAACCCTTTCGAGCCTGCATAGTGCTTGGATAGGTGACCACAGCGCAAACAGGTTGTAGGTTGTAGTGGGGCTATGAGGTGGTTAGCAATCGGTGGTGCGGCAAAATTCATCGTTGTACTGTGCCGCTTCCCTGGTAATGTTTGCCACCTTGGCCAACCGGCATTGGCCAGCGTGGTGAACAACTCCCCGTGTCCCACGCGGCATGGGTAGGCCCTCGTCCAGCAGTGGATTGACAAGAGTTTATGCAAACGAGGTCGAAGTTACTACAACAACAAAAACAATACTTTGACCCAGTAATTTGCCTCATCTCTCCTGGTGCTGGGGGACTCCATGTCAATTCCAAATCGTGAAAGGGGATGGACGTATTCTGTTTGTCTGAGGTGCGTGTGGGGGCATGGCAGCCACTGAATCTCTCCGGGCCTTGTACAGACTGGTGAGCGGTGTGATGGTCAGGTGACGATGGTGAGATCTCACGAGTGTCGTGCGAGGGTCACGTCGCCACGTCCGTCGGGACTGGCTGCCAACTTTACTGGACGTCTGTGAAAAAGAGCTTTATAGCTCATCGGATTCCTCCAGGAAATCTACATTTTCTGACTCTGTTTCACACTTAACTTTTTGCGTTTAGTTTGTTGTCCTTCACCCGCACCTCTGATTAGCACGCTCGGCTACGTACGGCGCGAAAGAAGTTCAACGTACTTACGAACACGTTGCTTTTTATGTCTAGTTTGTTGTCCGTCCCCCGCACCTCCAATTAGCACGGTTGCCTCGCATACAGTGCGAAAGAAATTCAACATACGTAACATGTACATGCATACGTACACCGAGTGTGCGAGCGTTGAGTGTCTGCGCCATGCTGGAGGAAATCGGGCGCCGTCTGTGCTCGCAGGACGACAACCTGTACGACGTGCTGCAGCTGCTGGTCGCGCTCATGTCGGAGAGCCCCTCCTCCGTCATCCCCGCCTTCGACCAGCGCTCCGGCATACGGTGCGCCTCGGCAAACACACGCTTTCGCCGAACGCGACGGAGTGCTCTCGAACCTGGCCAACCGAGAGTTAGATTCCCGACCGCGGCTAACATCGGTAGCGAGTGATATCTGGGCACCCTCTGCCATTAACCCGCGCCGACCAGCATGGTTGAAGCGGGGTTCACACAACCCCCATGACTGACACGGTGTAGGGGAGGCCTTCATCCAGCAGATGATTGACACGGGGCGAAATTTTTTAATTCATTATTATTCAAGCTACTAAGTAGCAGACCAGTCTCTACAACAACATAACCTAACAAAAATAAATCTGCATCCCAGCAGCTCTTACAGCGAATGCCACACGCCTGTCTGTTGGCTTCATTTACTGGCCACGTTTACACCATGGCTGGCTGGGTCTAATTCACGATACTGGAAATTCTTCGTACGTGCACTGCCCCCTTGGGCTGGAATTGCAGTATTTGTACGCCATCGAATTAGCGCTACAAACGCAGGTGCGTCTCAAACCATGGGCCTCACGACCTCGCACGGTACATCTCTCCGTGATTACCAACTTATCCGGTGCATGCAGTGCGCAGTGGCCCATTTTTCTTTATGAATAACACATTGTTTTATCCCGAAAAGGCTCAATGCTGCGGGGCTGCAAGGACTGGAGTTAGGAAACACCATTCCTAATGCATTTGAGTGAGAATGCCTGCTCTTGGTTGCCCGAACGGCGACACGTGTGGAAGTCTAGCATTCTCATCATCCAGCAGCGGAGAGACCGTGGCTGACAGCATTTGCGCTCCGTGTCCGTTTTGCCCGCGAGCAGGGTGGCGTTCAAGTTGCTGGCGTCGCGGAGCGAGCACATCCGCGTGCAGGCCCTCAAGGTGCTCAGCTACTTCCTGAAGCACCTGAGCTCCAAGTAAACCTCCCACGACCGTCACCCCCCCCCCCCTCCGTGCACGCAGTCCCATAGTCTGCCACTCAGCCAGGCAGTCCACACGTGTGTGTGTGTGTGTTTCTGTGTGTGTGTGTGCGAGAACACATTTGGGGAGCGGTAGTGTAGTCGCGGTGTAGCACGCCGTGCTACGAACCCGGTGACCCGCGTTTAATTCCCGCTCATGACCAACACCCAGTTACGATTATTTGGCCCGGTCCTGGGCCTCCCCTAGGTCGACTCGGCTTGAAATGAGCACGTGGCACGATGTGTAAATATCGCCACTAGGAAGACAAAGGCAGCTGGGCGTGGTGCTGGCCACCCACCCCCTCGTGTGCCGTTCTGGCCTTCGTAGGTGCTCGCTAACAGCACGTGGCCAAACAGTCTGTTAAGGCTAATCCGGGGATTTTTGTATTTGCAAGCATGTGTGTGTTTGGGTGTGCGCAAACAATGTGTCGGCGTCTGTGAGTGCGTCTCTGCGCGTGTTTGTGCGTGCGTGTCCTTTCCACGCGTGCGTGTGCACGTCTCGTGTTTGTTGCCGGCCTTCAGAGATGCTCGCGAACAGCACTCACTCGGGCCCCAAATGTCTGTTAAAGGCTATACGGTTTTTCTCTGTCTTTGTGTGTGTGTGTACAGGCGCAAGGCTGAATTGATGGTTGCGCCCAGCCTCTTCAGCTTGCTGGGAGAGAGGCTCATGCTGCACACCAACGTGCTCTCCATGACCACGTACAACGTCCTCTTTGAGGTGCCCATCGCTTCTGCACTAACGAAAAATGGCCCTGCCTTGCTTTTCACCACTTTCTAACTAGGATTAAACGCGTTTATGCGTTAGCTCTGTCCATCTGCCTGCTTGTAAACCACACAATTTATTTGTTTTACCAGTTAACTCCCAGTAAGTCATATAGCTCTTTTTCAGAAGCGACCTGGCCACAAATGATAACTCAACGAAGTGGTGGATTATTCTAGATTTGAAGTTTTCGTGACTGCAATGATCCATACTCTTTGGTTCTTTCGGTAAAGTCACGTAGGTAAAAATAAAAAATCAAGTTAATCAAATCACGACGTTTCGGAGGCTACACAAGCTTCCGTCATCAGGTGTAACTAGCCCAGCAACATTACTGTAAAGAGAGCTATTTGTAATAAGAACTTATTATATCGGGTAAGAGGAGGGGGGAGGGAGGAGCCAACAGAGGACGGATGCAGGATGGGGTGCTAGTTACACCTGATGACGGAAGCTTGTATTGCCTTCGAAACGTCGTGATTTGATTAACTTTATTTGTTATTTTTACCTACGTGACTTTACCGAAAGAACCAAAGAGTATGGCGGCTTATTGTGTGGAAATTCGTAGCAGCCAAATACTATAAACGCACGTTCATTCTAAATGTGGAGGGGAAGAACCAGATGACCCGGGGAAAAATCCATGCGACTACACGGAGAGAGACACGCAAACTTCAAATATCTAGGCGTTGGGGTTGGGATCGAATCCACGACCTCCATATCAGACGAGGGAGGTAACATCTCACCACTTGTAAAGAGGGGAGCACGATAGATCTCTTAAAGATGATCCAACATGAACTAATGTTTAGTCGAAGAATATGTTGCAATTGGGAACTCATCCTATTGAAAACCGGCCACATTGATGAAAGCATTGCCCAAAACTTGTCAAAAAGGATTATTTGTAAATAATCACACGTGTCTTGCCCCCTTACACACATACCAATGGATTTCATACTGCTAATTAAATACTTGTGTGTGCGGTGTGTTGTGCGTGGTGTGTGTTGTGTGCGGTGTGTTGTGCGTGGTGTGTGTTGTGCGTTGTGTGTGTTGTGCGTGGTGTGTGTGCGTGTGGTGTGTGTTGTGCGTTGTGGTGTGTGTTGTGTGTGTGTTATGTGTGGCGTGTTGTGTGTGTTGTGGTGCGTTTTGTGTGCGTGGTGCGATGTGTAGATGACGGAGAATGTCTGCACCCATACTACTAATTAAATACGTGTGTGTTGTGCGTGGTGCGATGTGTAGATGTTGACGGAGAATGTCTGCACCCAAGTGATTCATAAGCAGCATCCAGACGCTGACTCCTCTGTCAAGATTCAGAATCCCCGTGAGTTGTCATCCTGGTTATGGTGGTGGTGGTGGTGGCGGTTATGGTGGTGGTGGTTATGGTGGTGGTGGTGGCATGCTTCTTTGCAAACTTATCAGTTTTTGGTTCCATTTCCTTATCTTCCAGTGACTGTTAAGATACGAATAATAAACAATGGCTTTCAAATTTTAATTATTACGAATTAAATTGAAAAGTATCCATTATGATTTAAATAGATTTTCTGGCAATGTGCATACTTGGATTTACACCACTGCTGAAAGTTAGAGCTTTTCCTCCAATGTTGGTTCCGCTAATAATGGCTCTTGCTGGTGCTGATGATACACAATCACGATGACTATGATGATGACGACAGTGATCATGCCGACGATGATTATGATGATGGTGACTGACAGTGATGTTGATGACCATGACGATGACGAGAAAAACTATGATCATAGTGACGATATAAATAACCACGGCGATTATGTTGAAGATGACGACGATGTCAATGACGGTTTGAAAATCGGCCGTCGCTCTGTGGCCCCCTGCAGTGATTCTCAAGGTGGTGGCCACTCTCCTGCGGTCCGCGCCCGCCACCATCGAAACAATGGAGGTGAAGCGTGTCTTTCTGTCCGACATGATCCGACTCTTCAACAACAACCGCGAGAACCGCAGGTGAGCGTTTCCTCCGGGCCCCCCCCCCCCCCCCCCCGGCGGAGAGAGGTCGGGAATGCCCACGCCTTGCCACCTCGCGGGGAAGGCAAAGGGGGCAAACCGCAGCGCCACTCGTCATTCGCGTGGCTGAGGCAGAGGGATCTTGGACTCGCGCAAGCGCGCACACACCGGAGTAACGAGAAGTTACTTTGAGTTTTTATTTTACCAGGAAAGGCCCCACTGAGCTGTATACAGTAAAGCCTTGGATTGCGAGCATAATTCGTTTCGGAAACGTGTTTGTAATCCAAAGCACACTCGTTTATCAAAGCACTCGTATATCAGTTGTGATCACGTGACGCTCGGCAGACAAAGTGTATACGTACTACTCGTATTGCAAGACCCTCGCTCGTTTATCAAATTAATATTTATTTTAAAAAATTTGCTCGTCTTGCAAAACACTCGCAGACCAAGTTACTCGCAATCCAAGGTTTTACTGTAGTTCTTTTTCAGATGCGACCTGGTCACAACTAACTCAACGAAGTGGCTTATCACGTGGATGGACATTTTACCAATCAACGGTGTCTCGTGTAATTTAGAGGCAAATGACCATTTAATTGAGATGTGAAAATTAGCTACAGGTTAGCGTATGTGATGAAATTTCGTACTGAAATTACATGTGACTTGAATACTGTATGTACGCTGAACTTCTTTTGCACCGTACATAGCCAACTGTGCTAATCGGAGGTGCGGGGGAAGGGCAACAAATTAAACACAAAAAGCAGTTCTAAAGAAATTACTTTTCAATCTAGATTATTTAAAAGTGCTTAACTCCAGTGGCTTCCTAATATCGGAAGGAATAGCATTCCAGACGGCCGCAGAAACGCTTCTGAAAGTGCGCGATGCAGTGACCGTATCTGTTCGACGGTTATCCCAAAGCCTCCGCTGCGAGGATGACCGGAGCTTGCTTTGATGATATATGCTCCGCGACGAGACAGCTAGGTATTGTGGTTCATTTGTGGCAAAGCACTCATGTGTGTAATGACCGCAACCTTATGATGTATCCGTTGGGCAACCGTAAGCTGCAACAACACGCCCTCCCAGTCTCTGTCTGTTGTTTAACGGTGCGCACATGTGCCATGTGTGTAACCCTAGCCCTGATGTTGTACAACTTCACCTCTTCTTCATCGAGCGCCCACCCGCGTTAAAAGCACGCGGAGCTGTAACGACGCTAAGTGGGACCTCGTGTGGACGAGCGAAATCGGGCCACGACCCCTGGCCGTGTGAGATTACATTTTTGACACGTGTGGAGTGATCGCCGGGGGCCTGTGTAAAAAAAAATCGTTTTAGAAACGGTGTATATTTCTTGTTTGGCCATGCAGATCAAAAACGTGGGCACTGATGAAAGCAAATTTAATAAAAAGATGAACAGGTCCACAAAGAAGGCATGGGGAGATGCAAGTCTGCAGCAGTTCGCGCGTTCTCACTTCGAACCCGGCAACCTAGGTTCGATTCCTGCTCACGGCCAACATCGGTGTTGGTTGTTTTAACTGGTCATGGGCCTTCTCGAGGTCGACGTGGCCTAAAATGACTACCTTGTGTAGTGTGTAAATATCGCCACTGGAGAGGCAAAAGCGGTCAGCCATGGTACTCGCCACCCTCCCTCTCGTGTACCGTGCCGACTTACATAGTGCTCGCTGACAAGCACTTGCCCCAACAGTCTGTTAAGGCTATACGGGGGATCTTTGCCTTTTGCAGGAGCCTGTTGCAGTGCTCTGTGTGGCAGGAGTGGATGTTCTCCCTCGCGTACTTCTCTCCCCGCTCCACGGAGGAGCGCAAGATCACGGAGATGGTTTTCACCCTCTTCCGCATCCTGCTGTACCACGCGGTCAAGTACGAGTGGGGCGGCTGGCGCGTCTGGGTCGACACGCTGTCCATCGCGCACTCCAAGGTGACGAGTCTGACCCCTGGCACATCTTTCGCATGCTTTTTAGCAAGCGCTTGCAGTCAACTCTCAATTATCCGTGGATCAAACATGGTCATTTGTGCTTGTTATACGTACACATTAACATGCATGTGTACATGTACAGTCCGTTTGTCAGTCCACTACTGGATAAGGGCCTCTTAATGCTGTGTTGGCATTGAGGGTCATTTTATCTTCTCAATTCTGCTTGTCATTGTGGGTTGCTTAAGGTGGGGGGGGGAGGGCAGGGGGAACACATCAGTGGATTATTCTGCACTGCCCTCTACTGCCAACTATGCTTTTTACACATTTAATGCATGGTGGTCACCCCTCCAGGCTCAGCCCTGCTTAGTCTCCCAAGGGTGACCAGATTGGGCATGTTCCGGGTGATTTGGCTGTAGGCTTTGTTTCCTACATGCACGCTGGTTGGATTATTAGGTGCTTCTCACTCGGTAGAAGTCAGTGTTTGGATGACCGCAAATTTGAAAACTTGATTGCAAATTTACTTCAATGGGGAAACACATGGCAATTGTGTCGCTTGGTACTGTGGAAAAATTTAGCCAGGGCCTTCCTAAAAAAGGAGTTCTGAGACTCGGTAAGGCTTTCCTGGCTCAACAAACGTAACAGGAGTATTAATCTGCCTGTGCTACAGGTGTCGTTCGAGGCGCACAAGGAGCGGCTGGCTCAGATGTACGCGGATTTCCAGCGGCGGGAGCAGGAGAACGGTGGCCGGGCAGAGGCGGCCGCGGGCACCGTGAGCACCGTGTCCGGCCTCTCGGACGGGGCCGGCCTCGCCAAAATCACCGAGCTGCCCGGGGAGGACGCCGCCGATCCGTACGAGGGATTCCCGTTGAGCTCGCAAGGCGCCGACAAAGCGAAGAGGGGTAGCCTGCTGAGGGAGGTGGCCCAGATGGGGCAAGCGGCGGCGCCGCCGCTGGAGGGCGGACCTCCTCACAGCTCTGCGGACGATGCTGGGACGATGGCCCAAGACGCAGCAGAGGCTGAGGCCACGGAGGAAGGAGGGGCGGAGTTGGACGAAGGAGAAAATAAAGCGGAGGAAGGCGAGACTAAAGTAGAAACAGTAGAGGCTAAAACAGAAGAAGAAGATACGGCCAAAGCAGAAGGAGAGGTTAAGGCTAAAGCAGAAGATGCAGAAGCTACGGCAGCCGAAGGAGAGACGGAAATAGAAGGGGAGCATAAGGTAAAAGAACAAGAGACTGAAGTTGATGAAGAAGAAATTACAGCAGAAGCAGAGACCACAGCAGAAGAAGATGTGTCTATAATGGAGACTGAAGAAGAGGCTGAAGTAGAAGTCGAGGCTAAAGCAGAAGAGGGCAATGAAGATGGCGATAGTCAAGAAGGGGCCTCGGAAGAGGCTGAAACTTCGGAAGGAGGCGACGTCCAGAGAGAGGACGAAGACTCGGCAGAGACCGCAGCGATGGAAGGCGCCAAGCGGACGAAAGGGGCTGAAGCCGCGGCACCGGGAGACCATGACGACGGGCCCGCGGGGGACGCCGCGATCGGTGGAGGGGAGGAGGAGGCGGCGGAAGGGAAGGCAGCGATTGTGCAATCCGCAACGCCCACGAACGAAGCTTCGGGGGGAGGAATGGTGGACGATGATGACCAGACCTCGGAGGTTTCAAAGGAAGCCTCGGTGTCCTTCACCGACGCGTCGGCCGACGGCGAAAGGGAATTTGCGCAGGCGGCGGAGCTGCTCGTGGGCGAGGTGTGCCGCACCGCCGTGTCCGTGATCAGCAGCGAGGCGGCGGAGAAACGCGGTGACGGGGAGCCTCGGGCAAGCGACCAAACGGACTGCGCCGCCGCCGCCGCCGACAGACCGAGCGAATGCCAGCAGCCCAGCGCCGGAGACGACGGCGCGAAAGATGACGGCGCGGGAGACGGCGGCGGTGGCACCGAGGAGAAATCCAAAGCAGAGAAGCCTCGCGGTGATGATGATGATGGTGGTGGTGCTGTCACCGCGCAGACCTCCACACTAAGTCCGAGGAGCGAGGCCACGGCAGAGCTCAATGCCAAGACCCTCGTGGAACAGGCCATGGAGCGCGATGTGAACATCCAGATGGCAAAGACCGCTCAGGTGACGACCTTGGCTGATTGATGCTGTTCGCGACAAACTCGACAGAGTGCCACGAATAGTGTTTTACGAGATGGAAGAACAGTGCTGTCTAATCAAGGTTTCATTATCCGTGGTTTGACGCAGGCTTTATAAGTTGTTATCAGTTGTAATAGTTGAGTAAAAACAGTTTGAAATGAGTTCAGCTAAACGGTTGAATGTTTTTTATTTCATTACAGTTTTACATATTGAACAGTTTTTTTTTTACAATGCTATCACCTGATATCGCATTTGCTTTGTTTTTATTTTGGAAAAACGTGTTTTTCATATTCGAAATATTAGAAACACCACGGGTATTCGCCACCTACATTATTGGAGCAGGTGCTGTTCGTGGCACCTGGCCAGAACATCGCACACCATGCCCACCTTTGTTACCCCGATGCTGGTACTTATGTATTTTATCAGCTGAGTCAACCTCATGGTTCAAGGTAAAAAAAAATTAACCGAGTGGGAACTAAAAAGGAGTGACCTGGTAACCCAGGACGGTTGCAGAATACATTTGCCGCTCTCGTTAGTGTTTCTAACACGAGTGTGCCATGAAGCGCCGCGATACTTAAACAAATCTCGCGTCTTTTTCGGTGTGCTTCGGCTGTTGAGATGCAGTCGCACGTAGATGGTGTACAAATTCAAATCGCATTTGTCGATTTTTTTAATGGTTTTTATCTCCCGCATTTCCTCTCTCCACCAGAGTGCGCCGACGCCGCAGCAGGAGGGCCAACCCGGCGTCGTCCTCAACTTCCGCCCCTCCACGCCGCCCATTTCCACCACCGCCAGCACCACCGCCAGCGCCGCCGCCGCCGCCGCTGCCGCCGCCGCCGCAGATGACGCTCGCGAGAAGACGGCGGGCGCCCAGCAGGGCGGCGCGGCGAGGCGCGACGGCCTCATGAATGCGGGGACTCAGGCCGCCACCTTCCGCATCCCCGACTTCCAGTGGTCGGGCGTGCACCAGCGTCTCCTCGCCGACATTCTCTTCGCCCTCGAGTCCGACATTCACATCTGGAGGAGGTGACGAAGGCCCCCCCCTCGCGTTTGTTGTCCTTCCTCGCGCACCTCCGATTGGCACGGTTGGCTACGTACGGTGTCGAAAGAAGTTTAACATACGTACGCACATACGACGATGACGATCGCCATTTGGTGCGCCCAGAGTCAGATTTCAGAGGGTGGAAATGGTTTATCTACCAACATTGCACGTGTACACTTACTAGTTAGAACTACAAGTGCACAGTCGTACACTGTGTATGCTTCCGCATACATAAAGAGTTACAAATATGCACGCATACTATTCAAGCGCTTACATCACGCACACCAATCGGGTGCCTCGGTGGCGAGATGTTAACTCCTTCGCCTGGTATGCAAGAGGCCGTGGGAGCGATGCTAACCCTACCGCCTCGAGTTTGCATGTTCTGCCCGGGGTCGTGTGGAATTTTTCTCTGGGACCTCCGGTTTTTCCCTCCGCGTTTCAAGTATTTGGCGGCTATGAATTTCCACATGATGAGCCTTTTTTTTTTTTTGCTATCATTTGTGGCCAGGTCACTTCTGAAAAAAAAGCTGTTAAGCTTGGTGGGCCGTACCTGGTAAAATCGCATGCAAAATATACGAATTAAAGATTATTGATTGGCCTGCGCACTATTCGGTGATTCTGTCATGAGCGTAAGCAGTGATGTTGATCGACAAGTCCAACGTGTGTGTCGGGGTAGTGCTCTTGATGGGATGTATTCACCCGAATATGAGAGCGTCAGCCAGCCGCGAACAGCGCCTACCAGCCACTTCAAACGTGACCAAAAGAGTCTTTAACGTCCACAGTGCAACGAGAAGGCGCTTGGCATTGAGGATGCTTTTAGCATGATTTTGCGTTTCTTCAATGGCCTCTCACAATACATTGCATCGCCAGGGGGTGTGCCGTTGACTGGAGCGGTGTGGCTAACACGCGCCGGTGTGTTCTCGAATCTCCCCGCGTTGCGCAGCCACACCACTAAGCTGCTGATGGACTTTGTGAACAGCAGCGAGAACTACGTGTTCGTGCACAACATGCTGCAGATCACCTCGCACCTGGTGGACAACCTCATCATGGTGGGCGGGGGCCTGCTGCCCATGCTGCAAGCCGTTACATCGCCCCCGGTATGATACCACCCATCCACCCGAACCCCGTCCCCCTATCCACCAATGCATTCATGGGCAGCTACGGTGGAATTTGACCGATCGGCCGCTTGTGAACTGACCCAGCGGCATTCGTTCCACCACGGCACGCTGTACCATGCCATGACACGCTGCTACAGTCATGCTGTGCCGTGCCGCTCTGCACCGTGAATGGTGCTATGTGCTTCGACCCGTGCCAGCCGTGACCCGTGTCACGCCATAACCCGTGCCACGCCGTGACCCGTGCCACGCCGTGACCCGTGCCAGACGTGACCCGTGCCACGCCGTGACCCGTGCCAGACGTCACTCATGCCACACCGTGACCACTGCTGCTCGCTTCGTTGCAGGACGTTGATCTGGGTGCGAGCCAGCACGTGGATAGCCTGCCCAGCGAAATTGCGCTCAACTTCCTGCACCGGCTGCTGAACCTGGTAGATGCGCTGGTCTTCGCCAGCTCCCTCAACTTCAGCGAGGTCGAGTCCGAGAAGAACATGAAGGCGGGCGGCCTCCTGCGCCAGTGTCTGCGGCTGGGTAAGCTGCCAGCGCGTTCACACGCGCCTGCACTGACAAAGATGCTCCGTATAGCTTTTACCAGGCTGTTGGGGCAAGTGCTGTTAGCGAGCACCTGTGAAGGCTTGCACAGTGCACAAGGGGATGGTGTGGCCAGCACCACGCCAGTGACGGTTTTTACACACAACATATATACGTGCAGTTCTTTTTTTACTTGCGACTGATTTTTTAAAAATTTATTAGCTTGTTCTGACTTTTGAGACGCTTTGAAGACTAGTTTTCAGCATAATTCTTCATGCTAAAAACTAGCATAAGGAAGAACTAGGCTCAAAGATTCAGCATCTCTCTTGTAGAACCGAGTCTTTCCTTATGTCCCTAACACGAGACTCGCAGCAATTCACCTCCTCCCACACCGCCCCTCCCCCCTCCAATTTAGTTCAAGATAAGACTCCACCATTACTATGCAATGCACTTTATCGTCTCTGCCATTCGTCTCGTCTGTTCGTCGCATTCGGCGAAAGGTGGTAACATTGCCGTCTAACGTGCGTGGATGAGAAACAATAGCTGCTCACACGCATAGTTAGATGCAAGCATCTTGAGCTTCAGAATTGGTGTTGATAGATCACTCGAGGCGTTCACCAGTGGCTCTATCGCCCCCCCCACTGGCCACTCGTCATTTCTGAGCGTGGAGCCGGGGAAGGAGCAGTGGTTCATGCGTTGTGAACCAAACGACTCGGGGTTCGATTCCCGGGTAAGGATAACGTCGGTTGCAAATTATATCTGAGCCAATCCCGATACCTTTCGATTTAAAGCTTTCGTGACTGCAAGGATTCATCTTCTTTGGTTCTTTCGGTAAAGGCACGTAGAATGAGAATAAAATAATAAATTGATAAAATAAAATAACACAATAATATTCTCACGACAAGGCCGCTTGTGTTGTGGCCGAAACGTCGTGAGAATATTATTGTGTTATTTTATTTTATCAATTTATTATTTTATTCTCATTCTACGTGACTTTACCGAAAGAACCAAAGAAGATGAATCCCGATACCTGACACCCCCACTCCTCCACCTCCCCTTCACCAACCCACACTGACAAGAGTGGTGAAGCATGGTCAAACAACGCTCAAGACCAACACGCAACGAGGAGGGCCGTCATCCAGCAGTGGATTGACAATGAGCTGTGAATATAGAGCACAGCCATATGTGTGGCTTTATGAACAATTAATATATATTTTTTTTAATACAGCACATTTGTTTTTTGTTCCGATTTTCATTTGTTTTACTTTTGTCATTTTGGTGACCCGGGTCACTTATTGCAAATGAGGCCGTCCTGGCCTCTTGAATTCTCGCCAGGCTAAACAAAACCAACTCGAAACGTCGCGTAGTGTTTGGAGTTTTGGCTGCTGCAGCATTAGGTTTTCTTTGACGTCGCAGCCGGAGGACGCCGCATTAAAAAAGATTCAACATTTGTTAAACTTTTAGTTGGTTTAGTTTAATGGATTCTTAAAATGTATTTATAATATAATTATTTTTTATGCCGAGTGGCTGCTGCTGATGTGTCCTGTACAGCGCTTTGAGATCCTTGATGAAAAGCGCTATATACATGGAATTATAATTATTATTTGTGTTGTTTTGGGGCCTGGTGCACTGATTTTGGCGTACATTTAATTAATTATAAAGATGTAGTTAATCGTTAGTATAATTATAAAGCGACTTAATTGGGCATAGGATGTCAATTAGGACTAATTCAGAAAGTAAAAATGTGTTACGGGAAAAATGCTCTTGAAGTACCATACTCAAATCGACTGTGTGATGATTATCTGAACCGGTCCTGGGCCTCTCCTAGATCGACTCAGCCTCAAATGAGTAGCTGGTGTGGTGTGTAAACATCGCCACTAGGGAGACAAAGGGGGCTGGGCATGGCGCTGGCCACCCACCTCCTCGTATGCCGTGCCAGCTTTCATAGGGGCTCACTAACAGCACTTTCCCCAACAATCCGTTAAGGCTATATGGGGCATCTTTGTGCATGCATGCGTACTCGCAGTGTGCTGCGTGGCCCTGCGCAACTGCGTGGAGTCCCAGGAGCAGCAGCGATCCCAAGCAGAGAGCGGGAGCGAGAGCTCGACATCATCCACCGCCAAGGTGAGGCTCTGCAGGTCGTCGCCGTCGCCCGACTTCATCAGGCGTTATCCATCTACTGCTGCATGAAGGACTCCGCCGTGCGGTTGCCTTCCCGCATAGTCCTGCGGTGCATCAATTCGTAGAGCACCGAATAGACGAGCTGATTTCATCGCTGCATCTCCGCGGAGCTCGTTCCCTTGGACAAGTTAGTCTCAACTAACTTGCCGTTAGTCTTATCCACTGGCCGCTAACCTTTCTAGTGACCGTGTTCTATCAAGGCCCTCAACGTAACCTCTCTCTCACCTGCTATCGTTTCATCATCCACGTGTGCGCGTTGTGTGCGCCTGTTGACCGATCGGTGGCGTGGCTGCATGCGGTGTGTTGGTTGGGTCACGTTCAAGCATGCATGTGAGCTTGTGTACGTGCGTGCGTTCGTGTGTTTTCGTGCGTTTGTGCATGTGTTTGCGTGCCGTGTGTTTGCGTGCGTGCCGTGTGTTTACGTGCGTGTGTTTGTGCGTGCGTGCGGCAGGGTGCGGCGGAGCCCCCCCCCACGGTGCCGGCACGGGACCCCGAGCGGCTCCTGCAGCCCATGGACGTTCACCGCCTACGGGCAGTTGTGTTCAGGGACGTGGTGAGTAATGTGGTGGAGCGCCGCGGTGGCTAGGAGATGTTAACTTCCTTGCCTGCTATACCGGAGACCATGGGTTCTCTTCCGACCCTGATGCCTGCTGTATATTTGGAGTTTGCATGTTCTCCCCGTGGTTGTCTGGATTTATCTCCGGGTCCTCCGGTTTTTTCCTCCACATTTAGAAGTCTCCGCACGATAAGCCACTTCGTTGAGATATCATTTGTCGCCAGGTCTCTTCTGATAAAGAGCTATAGTGCTCAATGGGCCTTACCTGGTACGATAAAAAAAGTTTAGTTTAAAGTAGCCGATGCCCACGCTATCGTTATTGCCCCTGCAGCGGGGGTCGAGCGGTGGTGCTGTGGTTAGCGTGCCGCGCTCGAAGTCTGGTGACGACAGTTTGATTCCCCGTCACGTCTTAACATCAGTGGCTTGTGATATCCGAACCGATCCTGGACACTCGGTGTGTTTCAACACTTCGCACTGACCGGGTGTGCTGAAGTTATGGTCACTCAACCTTCACGACCGACACGGCATTGGGAGACCTTCATCCAACAGTGGATAGGCGAGCTGTAAATTAAATTATTTTAATTATTATAGTGCCCTGGTTACAGCCCATTGCTTGCAATTGGACGGTTGCGAGTTCACAAATTTAATTTGTGGTCGAATAAGCACTTCACACCTCCGGCGGTGATTAAAATAGGTCCCACATTGTGAAGAGTCAAAAGTGGTAGTTCTGTCATTAAACCTGTTCCTGCCATAGGAATGTGGAATTTGCACCACCGCGGCTCATCTCTGTAAACAGAAGACGAGCGTTACCCCTCGCTCCCGAACAGAAAACCACTTTGTCTTTTAGCTTTCATATCGATTGCTATTGTCAGTGGCAGCAGTAGTTTTATTTTATTACTGTTCCTGTCATATTGACATCGCTAGTTTATTCATTGCCCCGTTTTACCTGTATTACTTTTATGGTTATTACATGCCCTGCCTGTAGTCGTATTATTATTATCATCGTCGTGGCTATTATTGATGGTGTTGCTGTTCATTGTGTGTGTCCTCCCCCCCCCCCCCGCCGTCTCACCCCCCTCATCACTGCGCTGCCCGTGAAGCCATCCTTCGCCGCGGGAGGGGTTCTCTCTGATTTGATGCTTTAATACAAAGCCGTTCCTCTCCTCCCCGGGGCCGCAGCAGCCCTCTGGCGCTTACGTGTTAATTACATTACGGTGCGAGGAGCGGGCGAGTGTGAATTGAGATTTCCTTTGGAACACTCGGAGCCTCGAGGCAGCCGCCATGGCTCATAGGCAGCTGCACCCCGCCCCACGGCCTGGCTTTAATTTTACCGCGTGGAATATGAAGACGGGTAGTTCGATGGGAAACCCAGACGTCAGATAAAATATGTGTGCATCTGTGCAACTACGTCGTGTACCGGGCCATTTCGAGTCAATAATAACAACAAAAATTTAGAGTCATTTGCCAAGACCTCCCCATGTCGTGTCGAGGAGGTATGACCCATACTTCACCATGCTTTGTGCGGTGTGAGTTGGCGGAGGGGGAACCAGAACTGGTTCAGATAATACCACTGATGTTAGCCATAGCAAGGAATTGAACTCGGTTCCTGGCTCCATGGTGGTGTGCGTTTACCAACGCCCCATCCCTAGTTTTAGATTTTTTTTTTATTAATTGGTATTTTATTTGAAAATATGTTTTTACTCTGGTGCTCCAGGTTCTATTTATTAGCCTTGCCTAAATCCGCCTTGAGTATCTCATGACTCGTCCTCAAGTGAGTATTGGTACTGTGCCTAGTACCGGTGCCTCAACATCTGGACAGGTTGCTTGGCCATGAGTTATGATGGCTTCACCGTTATACGTGTGAATCACGCCAATGGGCCTGATGAGGTGCTTTCTTGCCACCCTTGACATTCTGTGAGGCTGACCAGGCGATGTCGTGTTTTACCTGTGTGTTGTAACGAGGCATTTGTTTCAACAATTAAAACCGATTCTCTCGCTCAAGATATACGTACATCGATTCGCCCATGTTGGATTTGGTTATTTTTGAATGTGCAAATTATATGTAAATCATATGTTAATTTGATACAACGAAAGAAACAAAATGAGAAACGATACAAACAATGGGAAATAAGGAGACAAAAGAGAATACATTTTTTAATTGAATCTTGACCCTGAATTGTGAAAATTCATTGAATGTCTGGCAGGTAAATCATTACACGCTTAATACATAATACCAAATCTCAAAAAAAATCATACACGCCATGTATTTTATGCACGTAATTTTCATATACAATTTGAAGAACTATTGAGACCCAACGCCATAACCAACGATTTAATTTTTAAGTGAAAACCTTCTGGCCTGGATTTTTTATATTGTACAGCATTTAAAATGTGAATGTGGTCGGGGTGTTGTTTTTTTTCCTACGTAATACCAGCAGATGGACAAGGTAATTTCCCACAGTCCTCCACGTTAATTTTTCAAACAATCCGGGCCAATTGTACGGTGTTGTGTTTAATTTTGCCTGGAGGGAGACAAAGCTGAAAAGACGCTGATCAGTTTTCCATCTGCTCCCAACATGTGTTCCAAGCGTTCGGCAAGATTAAATGATTAAAAGCAAACTAAATGGCTCGCCCCTATAATAAACGTTAAAGCTGCGCCGCGTCTAGGGCAGCGTACACACACGAACGAACAAACGCACGCATGCGCGCGTACATGCGCACGTACAATTTCTGCTCCTCATTCTCGGCTTAACGCGCCGGCAAAGCCGATGAACGATGCCGCAGCCCCCGCAAACATAAAATTAAAAACGCGGAAAAGACAGACAGCGATTCTCGCGATTCGACTCGCTTCTTTACACGCCCGCGCATTTACATAATCCCGCTTGGTTCCGGCCGTCGCGCCCTCTTGATCGACAATGGGGAAGCGCTCCGGCGGGTCTGGTCTCCGTTGCGCGTTCTCCGCAGATCGCTTTAAAATATTTATTTTAGCCCAAGGCCGGCGAACGGCGGCGGCGGCGGCAGAGGAGGAGGAGGACCTGGGTGGGCCGACCCCGAACGAATCGAGCCGTGCGCGCGCGTCTGCCGCACCTCAGGTGGCGCTGGGCGAAGCCCCCCCCCCCCGCCTCGTCGCTCCTCCCGACCCCTGACCCCCACCAGCCGGCTCCGTCGTTTTTAAGAGAAACTGTTTAAATGCCACGGGGAGAGTCGGTGGACGGGGGGGCAGGGGGGTTAGGGAGTCTTGGGGGAGGTTATGATTGCTGTATGATTGTCACGTTCATAATGTTTGTGGTTATGTCGAGTTACGGTGCGGTAGGGTGTTGAAGCAATGGACATCTGTTTAGTTGTAGATTGCTCGTTGTTATTGTTGCTGTTGATTGTTTGTTTTGTGGAGATGTTTAAAGACAATTTAAACGATATTTCGATCCGATGTGGAGGAAAATGAGCCGACTCGCAGTAACTTGAGCCGACTGCTACCAAGCCCAACATCTCATCCTCGATATTGATCATTTACAAAATAATTTCTACAGTATATATGCGACAGCTTTGGCGAAGCCTTCATGCAGCAAAGGATAGGGCATAGCTGCTGATGACACTATGTTTGCTTAGTTCATACTTTGCCCTATTATGAAACACACCCACCCTATCCCTAATGATAATTTAACCTATATTGGGAGATTCCTCAGTACTTTTCCACTGCAGTGTATGAAGAAGTATGACCTGACACAAGTTAAAGTGTTAATGGAACTGTCATTTGGTGATCTCTGTCCAATTGTCACCTGTGAGATTTCCCAGCCACATGGGTCCTCGGTGGTACCTTAGATTTTATCGTCAACCCAGACACCGCTCCATTCATTTCCCCGAGGTGTACCTTGAAAAGAGACTCCGATCCTGATTCATGAGCTGTCAAGGGGGGCTTTATTTCCACAAATTTTCCGTGTCAAAAATTTGCAAAAGCAATGGCCAATTTTGCAAATTTGGCCATTATGGTCTCATCATCATCATCAGCAGCCATGATCTGTCTACTGCTGGATAAAGGTCTCTCCAAGCTGCCGCCGTCTCTCACGCAAAGTTGCATTGCATCGAGTCCCCTGCTGCTGTACACGAGCCAATTGCATCGCTTTGTCTCCGCGGTGGCGGTCTTTCTTTGGCACGTTCCCCTGGGCTGCTGTTCCGTCGTCTAGTCGCGACCACTGGCCGTCATCTTTTTAAGCGACGTGTCCTGCCCGAGACCACTTTCTTAAATCTGTCCAATCTGTCCAATCTACGTGCGGAATTCTTAAGTCAACATCGTGTCCCATTTCTCTTTCTCGGTGTAATTCCGAGCATACATCTTCACCCCATGCTTCTTTGCACACTTGTTATAGCTTTTGTAACATTTTTTTATCCATATACCCGTATCAGGTAACAAACTCATTGAAGACTTATCAGCTTTAGGCACATTGCTATGTTGCTTTTCATTGTCAAGTTTAGTATTTTTCAAAAGCACTCCGTCCTGCTGTCGCTCGTCTCTTTATTTAATCGTTTTGACTTCGATCCCGCACCTTGGAAGAGCACAGTTGGCAATGTACAGTGCGAAAGGAGTTCAACATACATGCTTACGATTAAGATCCGCCTTCAATAACTGTCCCAGGTAGACATGCTCCGCTATATTTTCCGTTTGGGTTTCTCTGACCACGTGATCACCTGATCAAAACAACATTCCCCATGACTACAACAACAACGACGACGACGACAATTCTTTGTTGGTTGTTGCTACCGGGTCTGAGGTTTCGCACGAGATTTTTGGATGAGGCTTCAATTCTGATTTAACGCTACAATGCTCCCCCCCCCCCCCACCTCCCGCAGGAGGACACGAAGCAGGCTCAGTTCTTAGGCCTCGCTGTCGTCTACTTTATCTCCGTGCTCATGGTCTCCAAGTACCGCGACATCCTGGAGAGCGGGCACGGCGGCCGCATGCGGAGTCTGTCCACGGCATCCCAGGGCGGAGGCGCGAAGCCTGTGGAAGCCAAACCCTCGGCGACGGGCTCCGTGCGCAGGGACAACAACGGTGAGTGGCCTAAATTTCGATTTAAAGCTTTCGTGACTGCAAAGATTCATCTTCTTTGGTTCTTTCGGTAAGGTCACGTAGAATGAGAATGAAATTATTTTATTCTCATTCCACGTGACCTTACCGAAAGAACCAAAGAAGGTGAGTGGCCTGTCGCGCCGCCGGCCTTGGCGGCGACCCGGCAGAAGTCGCGCCTTTTTACCGTGCATGTGCGTGTGTTTGAATACCATTAAAAGATAATAGTTAATAAGGACGGCTTTGTCAATCCGCTGCTGGATGATGGCCTCGCTATGCTATGTAAGTGATGGTTAGTGGTTTGAAGATACTTCATCACGCTGGTCCGATGTGTTTTGGTGGAGGAGGAGCATAGACGTGAGACTATATACGTACAATGCAGCGATGGAGTTTGCTTCACTGCCCTTTGCATTAGCCACAAAGTGTTTATGATATTTTTTTACAGCCCTTTGTCAAACTCTACTGATGGGTGAAGGCCTCTATACTCCGCAGCTGGATGAAGCTGTGTCGGTCAGGGAGGGTGTTTCAACTCGCATCATCACGCTTGGCATTGTGGGTTGATAAAGGGAGAGGGGAAGTCCAGGAACAGCTTCGGATAACAATTGCCACTGATGTTGATCATGGCTGGGAATCTAACTCGGTTCTCAGAGTTCAAAGTGCACAATACTAATCATTGTGCCATTGCTCTGCCACAGTTAATAATAATAATAACTGTTATTTTATGCTTATCCGGGAATCTATCAAACATCTCTTTTTAGAAGGACCCAGATTCTATTCTTATGGACAGTCTCTAAAATGTATTTTGCATTTGGAAGGGAACCAAAGTACCTGGATGAAAGCAAATAATTTGAGGGGGAAACAAGACCTAAAATAAAGCTCAAAATTCCACTCCGACTATAAATGTCACCACCACTCATATTCAGGAAAAATCTTAAAAGTAGCAAATCATTATACTTAGATCAAACAAAGATATCACTGCCTCTTTCCCTTCACAGACTGTCCCTTACCTGAGGCCTCAGTCTCAGGTAAGGGACTGTTACAGCTTTAGCTCGGCTTCCGGTCTTCGGCCATAGTTGAGCTCTCTCGTTCTTAAAAAAAAAATCCACATTTATTGACCGTAAACTTATCGATGGTTATCAACGATGGAGGAATTCTTGAGTGAAGCGAGAGCAGTTGTCTAGGCCCCAACCTCCAATTGATGCCACGTATAAAGCATCTCCTAAAAATCGGCGTTGTTGCTTTCAGCTCAGAAATGACTGAATGAGGGCGCCATTGGAGAAATTTCTGTCTGGCCATGGGGGGGGGGGGGGGGGGGGCGGTTGAAGCAGTTTTATTGATTCGAGAACTGGGGCAGGTGCCGCAGTGTCTGTCTGCCTTGGAAGTCGTTCATTTTTAAGAGACTTGCTCAGTGCTTTCTCTTTCGTTGTCTGCACCAGAGGGAATCTGTCTTCCCTTAAGCAGACATCCACCAGTCCCGCTCGTAAAAACGAGACGTCCATCCTCAGCGCGAGGGCTCGACTGTGTCGTGATTTTGTTAATTTGGGGGCGGTGGTTCGAGCTCTGCGCCGTGAACCCGGGCTGCCTGAGTTTGATTCCCCGTGATGTGGTGGTCGATATTGGAACCGGTTAAGGGCCGCCACCTCCTGCCCCTGTTCACAAATGCATACTGATCAGCACGGTGAAGTTCAGTCATACGACCCTCGTAACCGACTTGTGGTATGGAGACCTTAATCCAGCAGTGGATTGACAAAGGGCAAAAACAAGTTGAGTCCAGCTACAATCAAATTTATGTTAGAGACTATATGTCAATCCACGGGTGGTTGAGGGCCCCTCCCTACCTCGTGTTGGTTATGGGGGTTGTTTGACCATACTTCGCCGTGCCGGTCAAAGCGTATTGGCGCCGGGGAGACCCAGGACCGATTCAGATATCACTCGGCACCGCTGGTTGGACTGGTCGCAGGGTTCATTGTGCAGCATGCGAACAGCGGCCACCGCTCTCATCACCATCGTATAAGAATGAAATCGCTCCAGGGCCGCTTACAGGTGAAATCGTTCCGTGACCACTGGAGGGCAGTGGAGACCGCGGCTGTGAAGCTGCGAATGCCCCCACTGGAACGGTGCCGTGCGCCGTCGCCCATGGGGTGAACGGTGCTGACGGAGCGCCTCGCGCATCGCCCCCCCCCCTCTCGCGCATCGCTCCCCCCCCCTCGCGCATCGCCCCCCCCCTCGCGCATCGCCCCCCCCCCTCGCGCATTGCCCCCCCCCCTCGCGCATCGCCCCGCCCCCTCCGCCCCCTCCGCCCCGCCCCACCTTGCGTTTCACTTGGACGTTTTGTTTGCTTGGAATTGTGATTTCGTCTCCCCCCACCCTCGTTATTGTTAAATAGTTTTTTTCCCCCCATTTATGCACGGGTGTCTTTAAAGCAGTTATACCGCTGTAGGTTTAATTCGAGAAACCTTACTTTTTGATTCGAAAGATGATTGTGCAGTTATCACAATAAAGTTAAACGGAGCGGGTGAGATTGATAGTCGTAACGTGAAGGAGCTTGCATTCAAGCTTTTTGGTGAGTGAAGTATTAAGGGATTATAAGAAATATATACAAATAAACATTATTCAAAGGTGATGAATGCATTCTGAACAGATCCAATCTATGTGTACAGTGGGGACTTATATAGGGTCTTATATAGCTTCTCAATGCACCTGAATCTCACGAAACTGTACAAAAATGGTGGATATATTTGCTCCATGCTCTGGTTCTTTCGGTAAAGTCATGTAGGTATAAAATATAATAAATCACGACGTTTCGATTGCAACACAAGCGGTCGTCCTCGGCCGGAAAAAATATAATCCAGCAGTGGAACTGCTGAATGTGACTTTACCGAAAGAACCAAAGAGTATGGATTCCTGCAGTTACGAAAGCTTCAAATCAAGATTATATTTACTCTGTTGCGATAAAAAAGCCATTCATAGGCAGAGGAGAACAAGGAAGGTCTTAGAATTGACTTCAAGAGGTACAGGGAGAAGGGACTTTCAGAAAATGGGGGCAGCAGAGGAGAATGATTGACCTCCGACTGATTAAAGGTCGACTGGGGGCTTTGACTGAAGGCCTTGGCTGTTAAAGCAGAGTGCATGGAGGGGGGAATAGAGCGAGAGGAGAAGTAGGAGAGTGTGTGGTGGAGGGGAGTAGAGTGACATTAGAAGGGAAAAGGTAGGAGAGTGCACGGAGAGGACTGGAGTGAGATGAGGAGGGGGAGAGGCAGGACGATTCAAGCACAGATGGCGAGGCGAAGGGACTTCCAGACAATGGGGACAGCACAGGAGAATGGAGTGAGATTTTTAGCGCACGCACGGCAAATTGTTTCAGAGCCAGGGGCAGCCGTGATACGTACTGTGTACGTTCCGAACGTTCATTCAGAACGCGGGCCGCGGTGCACACGCAGCTGTTCAAGTTCGGGACCCGGGCCGTGGCCACCTGCCCGCGCTCCGCCCGCCCGCCCTCCGTCACGCGCCATCATCGCCGGACACAAAAACCCAAATCGATTTGTCCCGGTCGACGGGTCTTGTGGCACCGTGAGTGACCAGGTCTCCCGGACCATCAATAACGCCTCTAAGTGGGCAGCGGCAGAGTCCGACCGTCCCAGAAGCCATCGCCACTGCCACCGGCCCACCCCCGCCGATGCATTAAGCAACAATATATGGTGGGGGTTTAAAGAGAGTCAGTCCGGGGTGCCGTGCTATTACACAGGAAGCTGTGCATCAGCCGACTTGCCCCCTTTCCATCGGCTCTTGAAATGATGAATAGTATTAATTTCGTCTTTCTTTCGTGGGTGCGCATCGCTTAAAAGTGGTTTTAAAATCATCTTGTTTTACGAGTCTCTCAAAACGTTGGTGCTTCAGCTGAAAATATGTTACAATCTCGAGTCATATCCTAATGGACCCGTCATTACGATCTCATTTGCACAATAGACGAGTCTTCTGAACACAATTATTCCAGGGTCCCACCAGTGTAAAGTGCAGTCTGCCATATGCTTCGGCAACTCCACACATCTCCCTGCCCTCTTGCTCTGCCCTGAAGAAGGGCCATTGGCAGACACATCAGCCTACTATATATTTTTTCTGTTTATAACGCAGTGTGATGTTTTTAATTCGTAAGGGTTTTTTTTTTAGTTCTTAAAGTACGCTACGTCTAATAGTTTCCAGCTCCTTGTCAATAGACTGCTGAATGAACACCATCTTAGTCATTGCTGTTATTTGACCATACTTCACACTTGTCAATGCAGGTTAGTTGAAGGGGGATTGCCAAGGACCAGCACATATTTCACTCGGCACTGATGTTAGCCATGGCCGGGAATCAAACTCAGATTGCCTGGTACACAGTCCAACGTCACTGTGCAACCGCATTCCCCAGAGATTACAATATAAATTAGTTGGAGAGCACCCAATTTCAATACATCCTTCTCTCACACATATCGTCCACATCTCATATGCATCACTCCCGGTGAATATTAACACGCAGCACAAGAGGCCCAAATGAAACGCGACACGACTGCGGATGCCCTGCCCAACGCCGAGATGTGAAGTGGTCCCAGTGCTCAGCCCCTCGGAGCCGGCCATGCCACCAGTGGGGTCCATGGCGGAGTGGTGAAGGGGGTGAAGGAGTGTTGCCTTGCGCTTTCTCATCTGCAATCAATTACCCACTGCAAAAGCTGGGAGCAGTTGTTACGGGTACTTTGGACAGGCGAGGTCCTGACCTGCGCCTAGCACTTGTGATGTTGTGGGGGGGGGGGAGGGGTAGTGGGAGCTGGGGGGGGGGGGATGGGAAGGTTTGGGGGGTGGGGGGGGGGGGTTGGTGAAGTGGGGGTGCTGTCTGGTTTGTCTGGATGTGCTGCTGCTTTGGAGTCATGAAGGCTGATATTAATGTCATATGTCACTTAGCGTGAGCTGCCAAGCCAGCAGCAATTTATAGGCGGCCGAGGTGTGTTT